TTCTAACCCGTGTGTTCCGTTTCACATCTACAACCATCTACTATATCATCACTCTGCCCTGCACGAAGCGATGTCCGAATGAACTTAGAATCGACTGAACCAACACAGGTGCCCAAAATCTAGTTTGCAAATGCAAACTACAAAGCAACCATCTAGAGCGACTTGCTCTGTAAACACAAGCCAAACGAAACAAAACTAAGTACGAAACCACGCGATTAGCTTTTATATCTTTTATGTCCAATGGCTACTTCTCCCATAAACGCAGCTTGCGACTTTTTCTGCAAGTTTCCCCAAATTAAACCGAGGATTTCTGATCAGCTAGCGCGACTTGATTGCGTGTATCGCTTTGCACCTAGAAACTGGCCTGTTGGTTGAAGTTCCTGCCGAAGATATCTTCAAAATTCTCTAAATGCCAAACAATGTACGAGACTTCTAATGAGGCCCAGCAACACTACGAGTTTCACCCAGGGGAGCGAAAGGATAGGTTTTTTCGGCGGGGAGCTGAGGCCTTCCCGTTATGACGTTCCAAAATGGTTTATGCAAAAATATACGAATCATATGAATATATGACAATGATTGACAATGTATGTAGAACAAGCCACATTGCGTAGGAAGCTGCGAACTTCACTGGTAGCATGGACATAACTATCGTAACTCATATTCAAGAATCTGAAGCGAACACATTCCGTCTGTGTATGTGTCATGCGAATGTGTGTGTGTGTGTGCTGAGAGTCCACACTGTACCTTGCCTTCCGCCATGTTGGCGAATTAGCCTGAAGAATCACGTCGCTGCGATTTGACTCCCAGGATGACTCTGAACGACTCTGAATCACTCGCCGCTCAAGTCCTCCCAGCCTTTTTGCAGAACATTTTCAGACAAAGCCATGTGGGGGGTTCCTAAAATGGGGATACCCCCAGTTCTCATCCATCTTTTTATAGAATTTTCCAGTATGAACCATGGGTTACCCCATTTACGGAAACCTCCATATAATTTACCACGTAATCTTCATCACTCGCAGGATTATCGGGGGCATCCACCGAATCTCAAAGCGCTTTGCGAGCTTCTCCCGTGCCTTTTTGCAGGCTTGGGCGCACCCGGATGAAACAAGCTGATGAGAGCGGCGCCAATGGATGTCAGGACATGCAGGAAGAGTCAACCATGCGACTTCTGAACCCATCGTTCCACATGTTGAAAAGGCCAAAATGTGTTGCTTCCGGCTGCAAGCCAAGTTTGATGGGTCCATGTTCCAGTTCCTCCTGCAATCCCACAAGATCCAAGAGATTTAGCAAAACACATATCAGAAATCCATTCATCTTGCCCCACAAACTCCACACCACAAAAATCGAATGCCAAGTTGAAATCCATCATTTCTCCAGCGCTTCTATTGTCCAGCTATGTACCGGAGCATCTTTGGAGTGAAACCAAGACAACATGACCAAACTGCAACGATGCCAACTCATGGAAATCATGCCGGGCCATGCTTTGTGGCAATGGTACTGGAAAAAAACTCAACTTGAATCATGAAATGCTGTGGCCATGCTCACTCACGGGCTGAAACTTCACCTTGCGTTTCTGTGCTTTTAGCGTCCAGGCATGGTCTTTTGAAAGACTATCCAAAATAGTGACACCAAAGCTTCACACCAAACCCTTTTAAATATTGTTTGCTGTCGTTGTCTTGCATCAAGTGACTACATAGTGGGAGACTGGGGCAATCAAGGATGCGGCAGCGAACGTATGATCGCAACCGCGGAAAGTCTTGACACATGTTACAACATGACCTTGGTTCAGCAGGTTCCTGTATCTTACAAAAATGATTTGGAACTGCCCGGTAATTCCGTCATTTGCTCTGTTTGCTGGGTCACCCATGGCCAGTTTTCGATGAATCTGCTTCCAACAACCATCGTCCCCACATCCCGCTTTCAAGAGCGGTGAATGGTCAGTACAACATAGTGGTGATGGTGAAAGCAGCATGCATCAACAGTAACCCTGCAAGATGTTAATTCTTGTGGGTTTTGCACACATGAAAACAATCCCCGAACTGATGCTAATCGGACTATTCCTGGAACAAGAAGAAACAGTAACCAATTCCCAGTCAAACATAGTGAAACTATGTTTCAACATTTAGATTCTGTAGACATTTTCTAGAAGTCTGTAGACACCTGCAGACAAACCCCATTGCGTAGGAAGCTGCGACATCAGTGGAAGAAACAACGCAACATGAGGACAGCTACTTCCAAGCCTTGAAACTATGTGAATGACTGTGTGATTTACATACCTCAAAACTCAAAACGACCAGCCGTGGGTTTTCCAAGACACCTTTAGAATCACATTACCAAAGGTCTGCAGGGCACCGGCTCTGAGGCTCCAGACCGATGCTTCAGCAAGTCACGGCGGGCAGTGCTAATGCAACCTGGCCGAAACAGATTTGAACATGTCCTGATGGATTTTAATGGGCAATTTGGACATGTTCTTTTGGCCAAATCAGCTCTCGCTCAAATACAGTAGCTGCAGCTACCACAACTTTGATCTGGAAATGAATGACTTCAACTCACTACTTGCTCTGATCCAACAGTGGTCCCATAGTAGCATGACTAGAATCTAGGCAACCTAAAATTGTCAAACAATCAAAAGGTTCAGGAAACACAGATGCTAGATGTAAACTCTGCTGATTTGGGCTTCTAGGGGTTCCAAGCGAAGACATCTTGGACTGAACGAATTGCCACAATTATAACATCGGTCCTTAGAAACCAAGTAGCGAATAGTTCTGACTCTCTGTTTCCTTCACTCCGCCCTCCAATGGAGGGCGAATATTCCTAACATGCCTGGCATGCAGTCTTTTGTCACAACTCTGGACTTTCCCCGGCAAAAAAACAAAAGGGATCAATGGATGTGTTCACATCGCGCAAATCTGCTATATCTTGGAATATTTCTTTGTTTTTAACCTGTGGTTTTGTTTGGCGCTCAGCTGCGTTCGGTCTGTTCCGTGAAAGATCGTGGTGTTCAAAGACATTGTTGGACCCAATCGCATGCTTTTGGATCTTAGATGCGAATAATGAAACATGAGGATATTAATGATATTATATCTTCAGAGTTGCTAGGATAGTGTCTCACATTAGTCTTGAGCCACTGGCCTCGGCCACCAATCTTGAATATGTGCAGCGAAACCATTGAAGTAAAGAATCAAAATCTTCGAGAAGACAAGCCGACCTTGAAGTCTGCGTGTGTCGAAACCTTCCGCTACTGGTTTGGCCCATGTTTTTTCATCGGTTTCGTGTGAACATGAAATCAATTGCCAGGTTGAAATCCATCGTTTCTCCACCGCGTCGACGGTCGAACTACCCGCGCAGCTTTGGCACTGGGAGTGAAACGAAAAGGGCATGACCAAGCTGCTTAAAAATGCTTAAAGTCTTAAAACTTAAATATACTGCCAACTCATGTGAACCATGCCGCATGGCTCTGTTGCATGGCAACAAATGTCAACTACTGTGAAGAGTCAGGGTGGCTTGATGCGATTTGTCACTCAGGGCTGCTCAGGGTACTTAGGGCTGCAACTGCAACTTCATCTTGCGCGTCTGTGGTTCTTCGCACGGTCTGGGCCTTGGTGGCTTGGTATCACCTTCAGCCATTCAATATATATATATATATGTGTATATATATATATATGTATATGTATATGTATATGGATATGTATATGTATATGTATATTTATACCAGTAGTACCGCACAAGGCGGTGGCGGAAGTTTCAAAAATAGGAAACCTATAGGAGAGGTTGGTTGTTGTGAATCAGGGATGGCAGAGCGAAGCCACTGATGGACTGAAAGGTGCTTGATCTCTCTCACTCTCTCTCTCTCTCTCTTTCTCTGACTATCTACCTACCTACCTACCTACCTATCTATGTTCTATGTATCTATGTATCTATGTATCTATGTATCTATGTATCTATCTATCTATGTATCTATCTATCTATCTATCCATCTATCTATCTATCTATTTCTCTTTCATCTGTCTATCTGTCTAGCTGTCTATCTGTCTATCTATCTATCTATCGACCTATCTATCTATCTGTCTACCTGTCTATCTGTGGTGCAGTGTCATTCAATGTAATGTAGTGTAGTGTAATGTAGTGTAGTGTAGTGGAGTGTAGTGGAATGTAGTGGAATGTAGTGTACTGTTGTGTAGTGTAGTGTAATTTAGTGTAATGGAGCGTAGTGGAGTGTAGATGTGTAGTCGTAGTTGTAGTTGTAGTGTGGTGGAGTGTAGTGCAGTGTAATGTAGTGTAGTGTAGTGGAGTGTAGTGTAAGGTGGTGTAGTGTAGTGTAATTCAGTGTAGTGGAGCGTAGTGGAGTGTAGTGGAGTGTAGTTGTGTAGTTCTGTAGTTCTGTAGTTGTAGTTGTAGTGTTGTGGAGTGTAGTATAGTGTAATGTACTGTAGTGTAGTGTAGTGGAGTGTATAGTGTAGTGTAGTGACCCGAAGCGAAGCGAAGCGGCATCTGAGCCTCCAAAAGTGGTCCGAACCCCTAGTGTTTTTAACATTTTGACTTCAATGTGCTTCGCGCCACAACGGCGTGCACTTTTTCGAGATCTGAACTTCCAAAAGTGGTCCGAACCCCTAGTGTTTTTAACATTTTGACTTCCAAATGTGCTTCGCACCACAACGGCGTGCACTTTTTCCACATCTCAACTTCCAAAAGTCGTCCGACACTGAGGTGTTTTGTACATTTTGACTTCGAAATGTGCTTCGCGCCACAACGGCGTGCACTTTTTCGACATCTCAACTTCCAAAAGTGGTCCGGAGCTGGTGTGTTTGTACATTTTGACTTGAAAATGTGCTTCGCGCCACAAGTAGAAGCACATAGAAACACTTTAGCGCTTGTTCAAACTTCGGATCAAACCTCTCTGGTACACTAGTTGCTGGATAAATCATTGGACAAAGCTGCAGAAAACCCTGGGAACACGTGTCAGGTCACATCAAATCACTTTATCTTTGAGGCATGACCGGTCACCCTTGCCGCCCTCTTTGCTTCGAGTAAACGAGTAACGACATGGGCCCACAGAAGATCTCACCAGACTCAGAAAGGTCATTGATACGACGTTTCTGCCAACTCAGTCTGCGATGTCCACAGGCGTTTTTGCTGGTGATGTTGCAGATCAAAGCAGACACGTGAAAGATCCTTGGGTGGGAAGCCGGGGTCGAACGAAACTGCAAAGAGCGCATCGTTTTGCAGCAACAACCATCAAAAAACAGCTTGTTGGTTGCATCTTGCTGTTCTACAATATTCTCTGTGCCAGGCCGTGTGGTGTCTCATGTCACCAAGGCTCGAGAAGGGCACCAGGAAAGACAAACCCAACAGCGACCACACCTCAAACATCGCAACGACAAAGGCAGAAATGTCAGCAGTCATTTCATCAAGTACAGATCCGCTACGCTCTGTCACTCCACGTGAGAAATGCCACCAATCATGAAAGGTCAGCTACAGTAAAACATGTTTTCTTCTGAATGGTTCTTTTGCGTTGAGGTTTTTTGCATGATATACGGCGCACATAATACTGGAACACATATAACCACCATATAACATCACCGGTGCATATTATGGACTGATCAGCTCGACATTTTTTTTCTTACAGTATTCTGTGGAAATTGGACACCGGCCAAGGGGCTGCAAAAAGCACTGGCACGACATCTGTTAGCTGATACTCCGGCATACTCTTGCGAGACTCCTGCGAATAGCAAGGGACTAGCCACATCAAACCAGTTTGGCCATGTCAAGTGATCGAATCCAAAGGCGTGTCGGTGATATCTTGAAACTGGTCCGACATGTTTCTTCCCCTGAGAGCGAAATGTTGAAAGATTTCCTGGGCATCAATTTTAGGAACGCATCCACATTTACTAACATGACATGGAATAACTAAATCTAAAGCCAGCAAAGACATGTGGTCAACATTGATCCAGCACTTATATCTATCATTTGGTCCTTTTGAGCGCCACAGGATTTACAGTGCAGGACATGGTTTATGGGAAAGTCTGCAGGTCCTCGACGAACGCATCCCAAACAGTCTTGACAAGAGCTGTTGCCCATGCGATACAACCTGACAGCACCTGGGAACGGCAACATGAATGAGTGGCTTCTCTCTGAAAATTTCATCGCGAATTCAGCAGAATTTGGCATAGGATTCAGACCATGAGTGTGAAGAATCGATGGTTTTGCATTGCAACGCAATTTCCTCAGTGTTGAAGCAATCGTCAGAACACACTTTTTGATCAGGAAAAAATGCAAACTCTGTTTGTACACTTTCGCACTGTCTTACGACTGATGTCAACTGATCCTGGTGCTTAACCACCAAGTCACCGATCATCCAGCAGTGGTGATCCATTCGCCAAAAGCATCTCCTCACTTGCGACATGGGCCATGTAGGAATCAGCACAGTTACTTCAGGTGCTTGAAAACACATTGATTTTGGGTTCTGCGCAAAATCTAACAACGTACCTGGGATATTTCCCAAACAGAGGCATCACATAAACGTGCATCTCGCTGGCAATCTTGAACAATGGCAACATGGTTCCACATGATGTATAACCATCAAGGGACTATATAACAACAAAATGCAGCAAACATACCCAGCAAATACATGTATATACATATATACGTACTATATGCATAGATAGATAGAGATAACACATTACAACGTATAATGCTATAACCATACTATAACAATACATCATAAGTGGTGCGAAAACCCAAGAATGCACCAACATCACAACCAAATCACAAATCAAATCACCAGAGATCTCGGATCCTGCATTCAGCACAATGGGAGACTCCAGGAGGACGCCAGAGCTCACAACTTCGACACCAACCTCAGCCAGAGAGACCCATGTAAAAACCGTGAGCGGCTTGAAACATCTTGAAACCACAATGAAAAATATGAACCAAAACATGCACAAACGAGAAACCACCAGAAACAAGTACAGAAAAGGACTTCGGGAATGGACAAACCAAGTAGAATCAAGTCCCTGCCACATCTGCCACTGCTTCTAGGTAGCGGAAGGGCTCTTCAGCGTCATCCGAATCCCCCAACCTTAGCTGCTTAGATCTGCTTAATTCTCTGCTTAATTCTGTCTAGCATTGCTTGGGCAAGTTTTCGCAGTTGAGTAGGACATTGTGATTGTTGTAGTATTATGGTTACCAAGGTGAACTGATTCAAGAATCTGGCTATTACAGAGATGGCCAGATAGCTGAATGCATCGCTCTCATCGATCTGTCCCTCAATGAGACTGTTCACGACCGAAATGCGAGGCATATCTCTTCGATTTCACATTCAATCTCACCCACACTCTATTCTTGATTCTGCCAAAATACATCCAAGTTCTAAATTGCTGTCACACCAACGCTGTTGTTACCAAGACACAAGAAAAACGTCTCGTCCTGGCGCATGGCCCACCCAGTTGACAACATCCCTCCCCAGCTTGGGCAACCTGTTTTTTTGACCCCTGACCTTGTTTTTTTGACCCCTGGCCTGTTTGCTTGACCCCTGACCTTGTTTTTTTGACCCCTGGGCATGTTTGCTTGGCCCCTGACAGCCTCGTCTTGGCCCATTGGTTTCGTGTTTTTGGCAGCGGCGCCGCCGGCATTTAGGGCGGGCGGGCGGGGTAAAACTTTTTGGGTTTGAAAGCCAAGCGCTTCAGCATTGTGGCTGCCGATGGAAAAAGAATAAGGATTAAAGAGAAGCGGCGGGGTTGGCGGGGGGCGCAGCCCCCCCCAGAAGTAAGACGTGGACAAGGAGAAGCGGTTGCAAAATAAAAGCAAACGCAAAGAGGGTAAGAATTAAAAACAGCGGGGGGGTTGGGGCCGCAGCCCCCCCAGAAGCAAGACGTGGACGAGGAGAAAGGTTGGAGGCCGGAAGGACTGCTAAAAAATATAGTTAAAAAAAGCGAAGGGGTTGGGGGGCGCACAATCCCACAGCAGCAAGACGTGCAGGAGGAGAAGCGGTTGGAAAAGAAAAAGTGTAAAAATTAAGAGAAGCGACGGGGTTGGGCGGAGCAACTGAAAAAGCTAGTAAAGTCAGGCAACCAGTGAATGCATATTTTGCGGAAGCAAGTCAAGGCTGGCAAGCGAGCCAATCAAAGCAAGTAAGCGAGCGAGCCAGTTAAGGCAAGTAAGCAGCCAGTCAAGGCCAGTAAGCAGCCAGTTAAGGCAGTTGAGCCAAGGAAGGCAACCACTTAAAGCAAGTAAACAGCCACTTAAGGCAACGGAGCCAGTCAAAGCAGTCTACGGTACCTCAATCGGAAACTGCAAAACAATGAAAGGCAAGCGGGCCAGCAGCCAGTTAAGGCAAGCAAGCAGCCAGTTAAGGCAGTTGAGCCAGTGAAGGCAGCCAGTTAAGGCAAGTAAACAGCCAGTTAAGGCAGTTGAGCCAGTGAAGGCAGCCAGTTGCGGCAAGTAAGCAGCCAGTTAAAGCAATTGAGCCAGTGAAGGCAGCCAGTTAAGGCAAGCAAGCAGCCAGTCAAGGCAGTTGAGCCAGTGAAGGCAGCCAGTTAAGGCAAGCGGGCCAGCAGTTGAGGCAGTTGAGCCAGTGAAGGCAGGCAGTTAAGGCAAGCAAGCAGCCAGTTAAGGCAGCCAGTTAAGGCAGTTGAGCCAGTGAAGGCAGCCAGTTAAGGCAAGTAAACAGCCACTTAAGGCAGTTGAGCCAGTGAAGGCAGCCAGTTGCGGCAAGTAAGCAGCCAGTTAAAGCAATTGAGCCAGTGAAGGCAGCCAGTTAAGGCAAGCAAGCAGCCAGTCAAGGCAGTTGAGCCAGTGAAGGCAGCCAGTTAAGGCAAGCGGGCCAGCAGTTAAGGCGGTTGAGCCAGTGAAGGAAGCCAGTTAAGGCAAGCAAGCAGCCAGTTAAGGCAGTTGAGCCAGTGAAGGCAGCCAGTTAAGGCAGTTGAGCCAGTGAAGGCAGCCAGTTAAGGCAAGTAAACAGCCAGTTAAGGCAGTTGAGCCACTGAAGGCAGCCAGTTAAAGCAATTGAGCCAGTGAAGGCAGCCAGTTAAGGCAAGTAAACAGCCAGTTAAGGCAGTTGAGCCAGTGAAGGCAGCAGGTTAAGGCAAGTAAACAGCCAGTTAAGGCAGTTGAGCCAGTGAAGGCAGCCAGTTAAAGCAATTGAGCCAGTGAAGGCAGCCAGTTAAGGCAAGTAAACAGCCAGTTAAGGCAGTTGAGCCAGTGAAGGCAGCCAGTTGCGGCAAGCAAGCAGCCAGTCAAGGCAGTTGAGCCAGTGAAGGCAGCCAGTTAAGGCAAGCGGGCCAGCAGTTGAGGCAGTTGAGCCAGTGAAGGCAGGCAGTTAAGGCAAGCAAGCAGCCAGTTAAGGCAGCCAGTTAAGGCAGTTGAGCCAGTGAAGGCAGCCAGTTAAGGCAAGTAAACAGCCACTTAAGGCAGTTGAGCCAGTGAAGGCAGCCAGTTAAGGCAAGTAAACAGCCACTTAAGGCAGTTGAGCCAGTGAAGGCAGCCAGTTAAGGCAAGTAAGCAGCCAGTTAAAGCAATTGAGCCAGTGAAGGCAGCCAGTTAAGGCAAGCAAGCAGCCAGTCAAGGCAGTTGAGCCAGTGAAGGCAGCCAGTTAAGGCAAGCGGGCCAGCAGTTAAGGCGGTTAAGCCAGTGAAGGCAGCCAGTTAAGGCAAGTAAACAGCCAGTTAAGGCAGTTGAGCCAGTGAAGGCAGCCCGTTGCGGCAAGCAAGCAGCCAGTTAAGGCAGTTGAGCCAGTGAAGGCAGCCAGTTAAGGCAAGTAAACAGCCAGTTAAGGCAGTTGAGCCAGTGAACGCAGCCAGTGAAGGCAGCCAGTTAAGGCAAGTAAACAGCCAGTTAAGGCAGTTGAGCCAGTGAAGGCAGCCAGTTAAGGCAGTTGAGCCAGTCAAGGCAGTCTACGGTACCTAAGGCAGCCAGTGAAGGCATCTTTCGTGGAAGCCAGTTAAGGCAAGTAGGCCGAATGTAGGAAAGATAAACTTGTTAAAAAGGAAGGGGTCAGGAAAACAGGGTTAGGGGTCAGAAAAAGAAGACAAGGGGTCAAGAGAACACCCTCAGGGGTCAACAAAACAGGGGGGTAAGGGGTGAAAGAAACAGGGTCAGAGGTCAGAAAAACCAGGGGTCAAAAAAACAGGTGTCCAGGGGTTAGAGAAACAGACAGGGGTTTAAAAAACAGGGTCAGCTGTCAAAAAAACATTGGGCCCCATGAAGCTTTGACCTGAACTTTCCGAATTTTATGAATTTCACTGTCCGCTTCTTTTGTGAGATACATCTTTACTTATCGGAACTTTTTATGTCTTGAAAATTTGCAGGGACCTCTGTCGGATCACGTGGTATCTTCACCTGGCACAGGATCAATTCAGGATCCGAAGGTATCCGAAATTCAACCAAAGTCAACCAAAAGGTCGACCAGGTCGAAGTGAAGTGAAGGATGATGAAAGATGTGTATGCCCTTACTACGAGAATGATATGTGAAAAGAAATGACGAATACGCACAAATACTTCCACAATATGTTCTTGTATGTTCTTGTCACTTTGTGAGAGCTTCAAGGCAATACGGATTCCCAAGTTGCTTTTGTGTGACTCGGCTGCCACAAATAGTAAAACTAGCTGACTGCCCATCACGCTCCACTCCCTACTTGTACCTCTGCATCTGGCCGTTTCCTCCAATCCTGCCAGCATCCACATCATCCACCATATCTTCGTTTAATCATGGGCAGCTTCGGATTCGGATGAAGCAAAACGGGTGGTATTACAATGTCCTGGTGCAAGGGATCAAACTTTGCATTTAAAAAAAAATTGAGCAGCAGCTTCACTGACCATCAAAGCCTGTTCAAACTGTTTAAACCACTGCACGAGTCTGCAAGTATGGATGGCATTGGATGACAATGGTTTGAATTGGATGGCTCATGCTGACTCTGCCTTCACTTGATCAGTGCAGTTCATATTTGACGATGCCATCCACATCCTGCAGTGGGGTTCCTTGCGCCGTTGGTTTATGAAACCTGCTCTGGTGTCCCTTGGGTCCCTTGTGGGTTCCCTTGTGGGTTCCCTTGTGGGTTCCCTTGTGGGTTCCCTTGTGGGTTCCCTTGTGGGTTCCCTTGTCCTTCAAGTAGTGCACCTCCTCCTTGGTCACTTCTCCAGGATCTAAGCTGTTGGAGAGGACCTGGGAGCAACCGATTCGGACCGATACCCAATTCACCAATTCGGACCGATATTTATTCACATGTGTTTCAATGCGAAACACAATGAATGTGTTTCTGCCTTCTGACGGCTTGATTGTACTTGATGGTTGGATGGCAATGAAGGCCCCATTCCAAGTGGTCACAAACGGTCACAGCGGGATTGAGCCTGATCCACAGATGTGCAGTCAAGATGCTAAACCGACGAGGCACAAGGATACCTTGGGCTCACAATGTATTCCAAAAGAAAACACGCAAACAAGAAGGGAATCAAGGTGGAAACCCTCCTCATTGGATCAGCAGGAAAGCGCAAACAACTTGACTGGAAGCGCAAACTCCTGTGTCTTTTTCTGTTTCTATGCAGTCAAATCCCAGCTGCTAAGATCAGAATCGCAAGCTTGCAGTTCCAGCTAGCCTCGAACCTTGTGGCGATGCTTCGAAAGGACCTCTCTGTGGGAAACACTTCAAAATAGAAGGCTAAACTATGCTAAACTTGACTTAATCCCAGAATGCTTGAATTGCGGAAAGCAATTCTACAAACAATATGTGCACATATGGATGTACACATATAGAACGCATTCCAAAGAGTACGGCTCCTTATGAACAGATTTTGGCTGCGGATGCCACCTGAGACCAAGAAACCCTGGCTGCCGATAGATGCACATGAAGACCAGGGAATTGAATGCCTCACATCGCTGGCACCAGAGAAGACCAGAGATGATAAGAAAATGAAAAACAAAAACATCAAAGCTACAGGCTGATTGAAGGCTCTTGTCATGCCAAAGGTCAGCACCCTGGTGGGTGACGGCGACTGCCCAACCACTCTGTGGCACACGTCCATGGGCAGTAAATATGTAAACGCATGTCCCCCCGAAATATAAAACGTTCTGAGTTCTGACTTTCTGCTACAGCTGCTACACAAAATCTTCTTGGTCCAAGCTGCAATCAATATGACCAAGCAACAAGGGCCTGCAAATCGCCTGTGGCCACTACAGCAAATGAAACTTCATATACTTCATGTGAACAAGTGAAAGACGTGGGACAAAAACATCGGCGCTTGAAAGCTGCTGACACATCTCAAAACAAAGCGCCTTTGGATCGGCATGAGTGGCTTCTCTGCACACAGTGAATCCAAGATGTCCTGAGCAATCTTCCTATCAGGACTTCCGTGCCAGCACCGATGTCTATCCCATGTGATATCTGCCAGGATCGAAGTAGAACGTGGTCTTTTTATGTCTTTTTGATATCATGTTTTGATGGGTCCCTACCATCCATGCACGCATCGGTTTGCACTCTCGCATCTTGAAACGTGTCTACTTCTGTCCTCCAATATGTCTTTGAAAGTTGTAAGCTTTGCATCACAAAGTCTCAAGCATCTCTTGTATGTTGCATCTTTCAAATCCGCCGCGCCTGTTGATTCTGCACATGTGCGAGGTCAATGGGAGACAACCTTAGTCGACCGCTGTGACATTCAGAGCGAAGCTAGTGGGTTAGTTGGAACGTCATCAGGACAGCAATTGGCCGCAATCTGGACGTTTTTCTCTGTCACCTAATGGCATCATCCAATCATTCATCGTCCATGACATTATGCACCGCTTCTGCCCGAGACGACGGCTTGCATTCATCGGTCGTTCTGGCCAGCGGGTCCGCGGATCTCTGCATCAAGAGCTTCACCTTGTCGATTCCAATGCTGGGATATGCTCAGCGCGCAGAACGCGCAGAACGCGCAGAACGCACAGAACGCGCAGAACGCGCAGAACGCACATAGGTCGTTCATAGTCAGACCATCCTTTTGCACGGCTTCTTGAAATTGCCAACGCGCCAACTTTTGAGGTCGGCACCACATCCAGCTGCTCGTGGAGCACTGCCTGGATCCGTTGTGAATGTGAGCTGCACCAAAAACCGGCTTGTGATTTGTTATCATGCCATGTATTGATCGCCTCCAAGTAAGGAACTTAACTCGAGAAACTGAAAAGAAATTGAACTGAGGTCTTAGTCTTCATACCAAGGCGCCAAATGAAGCCTCAACAGACTGCCGCGGCACCAGGTCTACAACGCATCAAAGAAAATCACAACTGATTAGGGCAGAAGAAACATGAACTCAATGAACTCTGTTAAGCTTAGGAAGATCACCCTTGTTTCATCTTTTCATGAGCTTCTTGCGCACTTGGCAGCAGGATGCATGGATGCGGGTGACACCAAGAAACGGTGTGATCCCATTTGCATAGCAGTGTTGGAGATTTGCCCCGCCATCCAGTGCATCGATCACTGTCCTCAGGGAGCTGTGGCGATTTTCTTTTCCGGCCGGGGCTGATAGGGTGGATTTGTTGCTGAAACAATTTCCACACTCTGAAGCACCTGCAATCTTGAAGCATCACACATGCCCCATGCTAAGTGGAAAAACATGGCGATTAATGACACCAGGTTTCTCGATATCGCCTCTTTTGATGGCCTCCTTCAATTCCTGCATGTGAAGAGCGCCAGGAATGATCACAGAGTGTTTCCACTTTACAAACTTTACAATGCGACATTTTTAACATTTTTCAACTATATTCTGACTATATTCTGACTATATTCAACTCCATCTTTGGACTCAGCTTCATATTGGTAGTCAGAGCTGGGACCGCTGGGACCGCTGGGACCCAGGGGATCACAGATTCTTGGGTCATTTCGACAGTTGTAGATCCTTGATCCAAGTATGTCTCACCATCGGAGGGTATGCCAACCCTCTATGGTTTATCAATGTTTATCAATGTTTATCATATCTGCCGATGTGTTTTCTAAATGGGTTATTTTCAGTATCAGTGGTTCCCTCCATCGACCCAGTTTTGGGTACAGAATGCACCTCTGGAGCGTCGGTGAAAGTTTCGCTGTCGCTGGCCTCTCCCAAACAGGACATGGCGTGGAGCGCATGAAATCCTTCGATCAATGATTGGATTGACGGTGTTTGACGTCGTGAAATGCCACAAACATGTCTGAACGTGTTTTGTGTTTTTTAAAGTGAGTGTCAATGCTTATCAATGTTTGATATTCATTGCGATTTGTGTTGAGTCATGCAAATTATGCAAATTTGCTGACATCTGTGACATCTAGTCTCTTCAGCACATGTCATGATGGCAAAGGGTGCCCTGGAGCCCTTGGTGCTTTGTGCTCCGGTAAACAGGCAACAAAACATTCTGGAAATTCTGTTAGGGCTCTAGGGCTCGGTGCGGTGAGATCATTTCGGTGGGGTTTCCTCCATCTCCCACCATCTCCCACCAAACTTTCCTCGGTGTCTCGAACATGTCAACCAATGTGAACCAATGTGAACCGATGTCAACTCACCTGGCCCCGAGCTGTTTTTGACTGACCGCAGCCTAGTGCCGAGATCGGTCTCGCAGCCACACATGGAAGATGGACATCCAAAATGAGAAGAAAAAAACGGAGAACTTGGAGAAGAAACACGACAAATCCGAAATCTCTGAAGATCTTGGAACTTTTTACACGGTCTTCAGGGATTCCGAGGTTGTGGCTGCTGGTCATATTTAAAGCATACTAAATCGACACGTACTGAGCTCCAACGTGCCATCCTGACACGAAGCAAATCAACCGATGGAGACTTCGTGCTCCTGTTGTGAGGCATGCACTGTACTTGTTTGAAATCATGTTTGAAGTATTTTGAAGTCATGTATCATCATGTATCAGTCCGTGAATCTTTTGGAACACACAATACTGACCTGAGCAAGAATCTTGTGATCACTGGTTTGTTCTTGTTCATGGGAGATAGCAAGGTTAAAACACTCTGTAGGCTTCACATTGCGAAGGGCCCTTGACACCTCTTCACAAGATAGCCGTACATATGGAATCACATGTGATCAGTGTCGCAGATTTTGAAATCACATTTCAATGACTTCCAAATCAAATGAAGCTCGCGGTTTTGCCCTGCCATGGCTAAGATTGGTGGGGCTAGCATGGTGGATGCATCACACCAAGTGCCCATGCTGGAAGCTCCGCTCCTATCTGTGATCAATAAAATCAACTCAGTTCCTGGATGTTACTGGTATTTTTCAGGACTGATCTTCCACAACGGCAGGAAACTTTACGAGGCAGCATTTCAGAGTAGTTCAACGGCACGGATCTTCAAACTTTCAACATTGCATCTTTCTCCTGTCCTTTACAGGTGCAGTGCATTTCTGGGGTCCATTCCACGCATTCCATGTATCATTCCACATGCCATTCCATTTCATTTGGATCGAGGACAGAGTGTGCCAGCGGACGCTGTCTCAGATCTGCAGCTGTCGAATGCGCTTCGACTCCTTTTGACACAAAAGATACAAAAAGTTGAAAACCACACATTGGCGGGCAAACAAATCAAAAAAATGTTTGTCGCGAACTTGTGAACCTATCAGGCAACAAATCAGTAGGCCATAGAGCACTCGGGAATTTCGTCTCGACTTCCAAGTTTATTGCTTTGGCGTGATGACAAATGCAAACAGCTTGAATCGGGTGTTGAATCGCAAGACTAACTCGGAACAAATTTCAAACATGGTCGCCTCATGTCGCCTCATTCAGGGAGAGCTGGTTCCAAGGCTATTCAAAATCGACCGAATCAACAGAAATCGACGAAGCAGAACCCCCCGAGCTGCCACTCTGCTAGCGAACCGGTTAGACTCGGTTAGACTCGGTTAGACAGCACTTTGCCAATCTTCGTCCATCTGTCTCCTCTTCGATAGACTTCTCTGTTTCAAGCCCCTTCTCTCCAGCATACTCTGGGCGATGCAATGCCACCCTGGTCAAACTTCAGGGTGTTATATGCTGCAGGTGGGGACAAGGTCTGTGTATGAGAAACTGATAATTCATGACAATTCAACTAGTGGCAGCCAACATCAGCCCAACATATGCTCCCAAACTTGGCACAAACTGCTGAAGTTCTGCTGAAGGACACAAAGGATTGCAGCATCCGACAGCTATATTCAATGCATCAGTTTTCACTGCTAAACAAGTCGAACATGTTCAAAGCGCCTGGTGGCAAGAGAATCTTCTGCACGCACCGCCTTACAACAAGAGTAACAAAATATCTGAATGCTGAATAAGGAAGGCTACAAACAAGAAACGAAAACACAAAAATCACGACACATTTTGGTAGTCCCCCCTGTCACACTGGACGCGGTTACAATTTCCATGCATCGCCCCTGGGCCAAGCTCCTCATGTGTGGCCAAATTCTTGAAACCTGCAAATGCGGGGCCATCCACCTGCACAGTGCCAGTGTGACACACTGCGACGTGCAGAAAGCAGAGAAAACAATGCAATGTCACATTGTTCGACGTTTCTTTGGACTCTGATTGCAGCATTGCGGGCTCATTGCATAGGTCACACCTATGCAGAAAATACACCCGGCCTTTGGAGAAAGCGCCCCTGTAATAAGAGAAACGCGTTCGTGAATTTTTCGATTTGGCAGTACGCCTTGGAATATGCAGCACGGAACTCTTTGAGACGAATGCTTGTGTCACCATTGCTTTTAATCACGTGCCAACTCTTCACTGGAAACATGGCAAAAAACAAAGGGCAATTATCATGAGAGAATTCCGTAAACCCGAGGAAAACAACATGATTTCTACCTTTGACGGATTGAAATTGACTAATTTGCACCAAGGAACGATGGATGGAGGCTTTCCAAGTGTGTCCAGTCCAACGAGATAGCAATGCTCCCACATTCAGAACCAAGGAGTTTGGAACGAACGGCACGTCAACCCAAATTCGATCCTCCAATGGCAAAGGGTGATTTGGCACTTCACAGGAAAAAACCGAGCGAAGGGATGAAATCAATGCTTTGCAAACGTGCAAATTTGCTTGCACCTTGTCATTTCCAGTGGTTCCCACACCGCTGATGTCAACCTCCGCAAACAAACAACTACATCTGCGAGAGGGACCTAGAACTACATCCAAAGATCACATGCAAAGCATTTGCAAATATGGGTCTGTTGGAGGTCATCAAATTGAATCAACGCTTTTTATAACGATGCCAAGAAACTTGAAGCCCGTGAGGGTTGGCTGGGTCCAAAGAGATGACCGTCACCTTGGCAAAAATTCGTGCGTGGCCAAATTCCTGCATCTGTATCCGCGCCACTGCAACGATTTTGAAAATATTTTTGTTGGACGCTCTTGGGAGCACCATCTTCTGAGACACTCGTGTGGGATACTCTTGTCGAAGACACTTTCAGTAGACGCTTTTCGCAACTCCATGCAGAAACTCCGCTGGGACACTCTTGCTGCAAAACATTGTTGTTCACGTGTTGAATATTGTTACAGATTGTTACAGTACTATTTCAAAATATTTCAACATTTCACAGATGTTCAAATTTTCTTCAGACACACGCTGCTGTGGAACAAAAACAACTTGTCAGACTTTGCCAGATGACGCCACCAGAGTCGATGTGCGATCCGTAGCCCATGCTGTTTTCTCCATACGCCTGCAAAAGGTGCCATCGCATATCTCAGTGATTTGTTTGCATAGTTTATTCTTTATGTTTCGGATTGCTGATTTTTTGAATCTGGAAATTGAAGCGTGATGAAACATGATGAAAAGTGATGAAGCATATTAACTTCAGAATAATGAACCTCTTGGATTCTTGGGATAGCTTGAATTTTCTTGAATTTTCTTGATATCTAGAAAGTGGTGCAAACATCATGGGGACGGGCGCCTTGCTGGAGGGATAGTAAGCCAAGCGCAAACCACCACCACTCGGGTCCAGGACCAGACTGAGCGAGAAACCGGCTCAATTTGAAAGGTGTGAAACCACGAAGCATCCAAATTTGGAAACCCGAATCTGGAAAGTGTAACAAAATGCAACAAAGTGCAACAAATATAATGGACATTAATAGACTTTAATAGACAGCGAAAGTTCTCCAGCTGCGACGAGGTACTCCATCTCCTCGGTCAGGATGCGGAACCACGAAGACATGGAAAACACGACTACGCAATACTACACAACTGAAACGCAATTAGAACAGGACTCAACTCATGCAAAAACATGGAAAACCGTGATGCAATTCTCCTATGGGCAACGGTCAAGATCGTGCGGCGGTAGGATCATGTAGGATCTGTAGGCGTCATCGACATCGAATCTAAGAGATGTTCCAACATTACAACTATTCACAACTCGATACTCACACGATACTCACACGATACTCATTCCGTCTGAAGTCTCCTCGTCGCTGACATTCAGCGCCAACTGCAACGCTTTCGAAGTCATCTTTGCAACGCGCTCGGCCGCATGCAGAAAACTCTGAGCCTGCCTCCACGTCCATTGAGTTGCACAGAGGTACAATATGGTGCAATGAATTTGTGTTGAGTCCAATTTCTGCCGTAGTTTTCAATCAATTTGGATCTTTTTCTTTTGGGCACGAGTGAAACATCATGCATCTTTAAGAGACATCCTGTTTCACTTCACTTTGATTGTGCCTTGGAGGCTTGAAACAGATACGATGCTTCAGGGTGGCGCCTTGCAACCACCGGTGGCGCGTTCTCTTCCATCTCACAGCCGCTGATGTCCTATGACATCGAATGGCTCTGCATGCTTTCATCTAGGATTTGTCGAAGCATCAATCTTAAAAAAAGCTATGGCACAATATGGCACATTACAGCCGTCATGAAATGTTAGACTTGAATTCAAACTTGAAGGGCAACCACAAAACAACCTCGTCAGTTTTATCATGTTTTATCCTAGAACGCAAAATGCCAACAGATGCCAACAGTGTCTCAAAATGTCCCAGCTCCGCCACAAGCGTCCTTCGCGCTGCAATGGTCGGCTGAGTCTTTCAATTGAATGGCCTCGACACCAGATTGCAAACCAGCAAGGCCAGTATGCAACGACTCCACCACGTCGTTGGGCCTGAGAACAAGGCAAGATGCAGCAAGATGCAGCAAGATGAAGCAAGTAACTGCCCAAAGATGTCTTGTCGTGTGCATCTCTCAAGCCAAGCGAATGGAGTGGCTCAATATGATTCATGAATCCAAATGAATCAGATGAATTCAGATGATTTTTGTATCTCATTCAATCTCCAAGTTGTATCTCTTTTTCTTCGAACACGGAGCGACACATGGAGTGAACGCGCGGCAACTGTGGCCCAGTCCTGGAGAAGTCGCCCAGGAGCTGAGCGCCGTTCTCGTGTCCCACGCTGTTGTAGCCACCGAAGCCATAGCCTGATCCAAAAGTGTCCAAACACTTTTCGATGCATTTCTGATCGAGATACTTTGGGATGGACTATGGCTAATCATGGCTAATCATGGCTAATCTATACTTCAGTTCATTCAATGTCATTGAGACCCTGCCTTTGCCCTTGTCGAACTTGGATTTCTCTTCCAAAGGCGAACGAAAGAATTCGTACCTGCAACTTCTCAATGGATATGGACATGTACTGACAGCGGAAATAAACATCGGCCATCTACACTGCTCCATCCAAATCAGATCCATCCAACAGATCCCATCTTGGTCATCTTGGATGTCAAGATGCGCTTTGTTCCGCAGGTTCGAGATCAGCTCTGGCGCGATGCCATGCCCCGTGACCACAGCAAAGCCGGTCTGCTCGAATCCTTCGGAAAGCCTTCACAAGACAAGTGGCTTAAATTTCAGGATGTGTTTTTTTTTCCTTGCGGAGTCTGACAAAGTGTGAAGGAGTTTCAGTTTGTTTGACAAGAAACCTACAAGAGTTCCTTGAATCATCTCTTCTTACTTTGCCAGTTGAGTGGTCGCACGTATTTACAGATGTTTTTTCATTTTTTTTCCGACGTATTTTGGACAACCCAAGCCGAGTCCTTCGGGCGATGAAACTCTGCTTGTCCTTCGTTCCGTTGTGCAAGGCTGAGATGTCCAGGACTGGGATGGACTGCAACACGGGACTTGAGTCGAATCTGTAAGCGCCAAGATGGATGCAGTATGCCTTTCAAAGTGAACACTTTATATCACTTTATGCCTTTAAAATCCTTTAAACAACAATTGCTCAATACCGTGTGACTTTGCCAAGAATCTCTCTCTGTTTTGCTCGTTTTCCTTGGAATAAGATCTTGCCATCGCAGCTGACATGGCCTTTGTCGACATCATCTGCTCGATGCTCTTCACATCAGTTGGTTCTCCCAACTTAGTCTGGTGGCCCTTCTTCGTGTACAAACCTGGTTGTAACAACTTCACTAAGAAGCTCTCAAGCTGAAACTCACTGCAGAGGGTCAGTCAGGGCGACATTCTTGCCGTTTCTTGCCTATTTGTCAAAGACGAAAGCGACAGAAACTGTCAGATGCTGTCGGAGAGTTGTGGGGAATCTCGCCTTGTGCCATGCGCATCATTTCCATCTTCCTAGCAGTAGCAGTGGGTTGGATGAGTGCGCGCATATGCCAATCGCCTTGCAGCTTAAAGGCTTACAATCTCTTACAATTCTGATAATTCTGTTCATCAAAAACTGACAAAAACAGTTTAACATAGTTTAACATATAGTTTAACATAGTTTAACATAGTTTAACATAGTTTAACATTATTAAGGACGGACAAGCTGGACAAGCTGGACAAGCTTCGTTTGATTGTAGATGGGGAGTTTGCTTCCCCAGTTCATCATCTCCCCGACCCAGGTCTTCTCATAGAGTGGGACCGACCTCGGACGCCATCCGGCAACGGATCACAGCACTTGTGCTTTGGGAACCTGTGGAACCTGTGGAACCTGTGGAACCTGTGGAACTCGCAGCCAAGACACCCATCTTCTTTGCAATGGAGGCACTCCACCACTGTGTCATAGTCTGGTACCACGAAAGCCTTGGAAAATCTCAAGCCCTTCCGTTATGATGCAAACATGTTTGAAGTGAACAATCTGTGATGAAATGCAAGAAACATTGATATATGATATACCACGATATACCATGAGATAATATGAGATACCTTTTCAACAACTCGCAGTGGGACTTCGAAATCTTCATTGGTCTCGTTTTGTGCAAGTTGGACAAGTTGGACAAGTTGGACCCAAGCAACCATCAAGGAGATTCTACCAGGATCACGGTGTCCTGGCTTTGGGTTTGGCACACGGTGCACGACGTGCTTCAAACCTGAGAGACGTGTTGATCGTGTTGCTCGCCGAACATGCCCGAAGGGCAAAGGAGAAGTCAAACGTGGAAATGCCACCGTCTTCAATACAAGACATGGACATATAATGACAATTAATGACATATACCATCTTCAGTGTGTTAAATTTTAAGATACAGTGGACGGCAAGTTGCACAAGAGGGAAGCCCAACTATCGTCGGGCAAGCCTAAAAATACGTAACAAATTGTATAAGTGGCACTGACCCCATTCGCCCATTCCACAGCAGTGTCCGGCCGTGTCACGTCCGTTGGACCAGCGGCTCATCACCCTCGCGATGCTTGGGAAATGAACATGAGGTGAATCAAATTCTGAAAACCCCAGTTTGCTCCATCTCAAAAGGCATAGCTGCATAGCTGCTCAATAGATTGTAATCAAACATCCAAGGTGAGATCGGACACACACACACACATACACCCACAAAGTGCAACGCAGTGGCAGTAAATGGCAGTAAGATGCAGTAAGCAGGTCAAGAGTTGGTCGGCTGATTGGAAAAAACATGACAAAGCGACAAAGCGACGACAAAGCCCACCCATCACGTGCATCACACGTGCATCACACGTGCATCACACGTGCATCACACGTGCATCAAGTGCTGCCAGGGGTCTCTCCAACATTGATGATGAAACTCTCGCCCGCAGGTCGGCGCACTTTTTGCCATTCGGTCGAACGGCCCTGAAAAGCACAGGCTTATCATCATGGCTACTAGATGCTACTAGTACCATGACATATTTCAGCATAGCATAACTGTTAGACAAGCACTTCAGGATCTTGAACAATTTATGTTGTCCTCTCAAGACTTGCACTCTAGATCAACTTTCTCCGTCCAACTAAATGTGTCCGTCCAAAGCGCTTCTCTGGTGATGTACCATGTCAACCTGCATGAGAAAATACGTCAGGTCACACTGGGACAAAGCATTCCAACACCCGCTCGACCCGCTCGACCCGCTCGACCTCCAGCTCGGCACGACCGTCGACACCATCTCCTGTGTCTTTGTCCACCAAAATCTGAAGGCCGCCCTTGCGATGTGAAACCCCAGAGCCCAAACACACTTCTGGATCAATTTGCAATTTCCAATGTGATGCAATTTGCAAAGAAAAAAAACATGCAGTGAAAGGATGTGAAAAGATGTGCAAAGTAAAGCCATAAAAGCCCAGATAAGCAGAGTATGTCCTGTTGCCCATCCCGCCCCGCCTCAGAATCCTCATCACCGTAGTCACCTGAAAGCCACAAAAAATTCAAAAAGCCTTTCCGTCTTTCCGTTCCGTCCCAGCTCGAGGATCTGGCGGCATGGCAAACATCACAAGACATCACGAGACATCACGAGCCATCACGAGCCATCACGAGCCAAGGAACTGGTGGTGATCAAGGAAAAGAGAGTTCGATCCCAATGCGGCTGGATGCGCTCCTCCACAAAGACTCTGTACGCACCTGTACTGTCCTGTACTCCTGCTCTCTCTGCTTTCTCTGCTTTCTCTTTCTATTCTAGGGATTGCTTGATATTTAGAACCAAAAACATGGCACAACTCGGTTGAAACAACTTTCAGAACATGATACACAATCATACAAAATGATACAAGCGCTTCCTGCCTGATCCTCTGCCGGGGGAGTGTCTTGGGGTGGATAATGCGCGATGGTCACCTGAGCTGTAGACGTAGACTATGGTAGACTATAGTAGACTCCATGTTCTACTCCGTCCACTCCATGTTTCACTCGCGGCATACTGAGGGACATTTGGAACAAAACCTGCCACATCCTGCCACATCCGCATCCAGGATGTGAATCAGAATATGTCAGAATTCGAGAGATTTCGATAGAATCCAATCAAAGTCACTGGCCAAAGCGGAGCATGTTTGGCCTTCGATTTGAAGAAGTCCTGGCTCAGCTTCCCGGTCAATGCTGCAGGTCGCAGCAGTTTCTGGTGCAACGTCCTTGGAAATGCCCAGGGCCAAAGCAAAGAGCCTCGGCAAGTTTGTGATGCTCCAGTCCAGGGCAGACTGAAAGATGTAGGTTTGAAAGACAGACATCTTCCAACCTCTGGATTGATTCATGGAACCAATGGAACCAATGGAACCCGGTGCAAATTCCTGGCGCATGTGTCACCTATGCCAATGATCACACCCTTGCATCACTGCTCTCGTCAAAATCATAAGCTGCTGTCCAAATGGTCAAACTGAAACTAAACAATGACACGAAGCAAATATCTAGAAAATATCTACGTAGATTCCTAGATAAATATCTAGATCATTCGAATCTAGATACCTGTGCAATGGGAAAGCTCAACGCTCCCATCACGGTGACGTTTGGACGAGTGGCTCATGCATGGTATCCGCGAGCTTTTCCATTGCCTGATAGAACGCCCCAGTGACTTGGCGAAGCTCTGGCACCTGTGGCGCACCGTGCGGTCCGTGCAAATCAAACCGATGGAACTACGACTCGTACGACGCGTACGACGCGTACCTCTGTACATCTCTTTACCATTCTGATTCCTTTCAAAATTCACCCAAAGAAACGAAAGCGTCATCAGAAAGCACATGGTTTAAAAGAACACATGTGAGTAACATTGTAGCATTGAGTAACTGAGTAACAAAGTGGCAAAAACTCGGAGCACATTCTTCATGATGCTTCATGTCTCTCGGTGTTAGAAAGTCAACCATCCCAGCGCCTCACTGGGCCACTGGGACTGTTCAGGATGCTTAGACACCGAGCTATAGAACTCACGACCTGCGGTGAACAAAATATAACAAAAAAACATACAAAATCAATCAACATGTTGACAGCGAATTTCATGTTGACCCAGTTGACTCTCATGAAATTCATCTGGAGCGCTGGAACACACCTGAGCAGGCCTTTGCAAGCTGCTAGAGTTGCAAGCATGAAGCACATGTGTTCAAGCATCAAATGCACAAACAAAATGTTTATATAACATGGATTAACATGGTTTCAACAAAAAAACAAAACACAAGCACAAGCAGCACAAGCCTTCATCTGATGTATAGTAAGGCTCATTCCAATCAATTGCGACGGAGGTGTTCTTGACGAGGAGCCATTCATTCAGAATGTTTCCTGGGAATTCTCAAAGTATAAACCGAATTGGTCGAAAACTTGGAACGCACCGGTGATGTCACGCAGGTGATTTCCCGCCTGAATCGTCCCTTTGCTGAGTCTTGTAGATTTTTCCCTCTGGTGATGTGATGGCACCGTAGGATCGTGGTGGATAGCCACTTGGCTCCTTATACTGCTCCTGGCACAAAATTCTACAAATCAAATGGTGAAGATTTTGGTGATGTCACAGTGATGTCAGTGATGTCTTGAAACATCTTGGAACCGCTCCTTGGTATGGGCTGGTAGAGCGAAAAACCTCCTGCTGCTGTGCATGGTCTTGTTGATCAAACCCTGACAGTGGATTCATCCAGGCCAACGAACCACAGAAACAAGGCCCCAAAAGGTTGAACAGATTAGTACTACTGTACCTAAGGTTGAACAGATATGAACAGATTGAACAGTTGAACTAATCTGTACTCTGAACATCTCTGAACTAACCTCCGGAAAACCGACGTCCACCAGAGCGACCTCAGCCAAGGTCTGGCATTGGGAGTTTGGCATGTTTTGGAATCTAAAAGGTCTAAAAGCATATGTGCTTGGAAGCCCTTCGCGGAATTTCAGCTGTGACCCAGGCCATTCCTTTGGTTTCAAACGCAGTCCTAGAAGGCAGTCATATCAAGCAAATGTGTGACATCAAGGAGATGAAATGTTGTCCAATGCTGTCAGCTCGTCCTGAGCTTTTTCACTTGCTCTTCTTGTTCTTTGGGGCTGCCGTTGGCAAATTTGGCAATTGAGACCTGCCAGAGCATCCATCTTACCATCTCCCCGTTTTTGTGACATCATGTGACATCCATTTGTAGAAACCACTGGATGATCAAACCTTGCGAAGCTTTCAGGTGTCCAGTCAGTCATTTTGGCAAGACACATGTTGGATGTCCGCAAACTTCGCGAAGCACACCTGGAAGATGATGCCTCAAAGTTCTCCAAATCGGATGGATTGATTCTCCAAAAAAATCCTGGAAACAGAACTATGGCATGACAGAACTATGGCATGGCACTATGGAACATCTTGACAGCAACCCTGCCATGACACCAAGGAAGAATAATTTTAGAATGGAACACTATTGACCAACCTTCCCCTGCTCACAGAGGCGGAACTAAATTGCGGTGAAAAGAACTCCACAACTGGCCCTAATGTCACACAATGCCCATCACTGGATCGATTCATGAGGTTCAAAAATGTACAACTTTCAGGTCAAATTTCAAATCACAGAACATTCAGAGCACACCACGCTATTCAGAAAAGAAGCTGGAAGCTATCCAGCGCATCCCGACCGTAGTGACGGATGGGAGGAAAGAAACTTCGCACGCGTCTGGAGCTAAAGCAAATGCTGCAAACCGCGTGTCTCAGACCGTCAAGCAATTGCCAAGGTGGCATCTCTGTGAGGAAAAGGACTCGGTGACTCGGCAGAACATTGCTTCAACATGTTTTGGCTCTCACTGGAGAATTTGTTGGTGAAGAAATCGCAACAAGAGCACCAACTTAGCAACTCCTGAAAGAATGAGTTCTCCTATGTTCTCATCAATTTCGGTTTCCAAGAGTCCTCCCTAGCACCTCAAACAAAAGAATTATGGATCAAGATTTGAGGATCCCTTGATATCCCGCTTTCGCACTATTTTGCTGTGGGCTTTCGCTCAGCAATGCTAGTGACATTCATGCGATTCATGCAGTACAGCAATAGAATTTCCAACCGGATTGGCCAAATTTGGCCAAAGAGTTGCAGTAAAAAAAGTAAGTCACATCACTCACATCGTTGCAGAGCAATGCACCAATGCACAGCATGTCGTTGCAGTATGCACAGATTCCATGTCCGGTTGGATCTCAGTCCATCGCATCGAACCCCCCGGCCGTCACCTGCAGGCAAACGATTCGTTTTCTGCGAAATGCACAGGTAAAATGGTAAAACATGATAAACAATGATAAAAAAAAGTAAACGTGATTCAGCTAAGTTTGCAGTATCTCAAAGTGCCAAAGCTGCTTCAGCTCCCAATCACTTCCGGGTTTTTTATCATCTTTGATCTGTAATTAGTCTATGTATGTCTATAGGCTTCAGTGCACCTTGCTGACCATGCAACAGCAGAAGCTGAGGCGGCCACTGGTGGCGCAACGCGTGGGGGTGGGTTGAATCGGCCTTGGTCAGGGCTCAGCTCAGCTTTCTGTGCCTTGAAATCTGTCTCTCGGATATCGGTGACAGATCGAAGCCGTAAATGCTTCTCAGCTCTCTGGCAAAAGACTTAAACAGGCACAGAGGAAACAGAAGATGTCTCCAGTAAAGTATGGACAACTGCTCTTGGAAGTTTGACATCAAAAGGCCTCCAACAAAAGATGCCAATATTGTGCAGTCAAGCTGTCTCTATATGAAACCAATGCCCAACCTGGCACTTCTTCATCTTCGCTGCCACTCACCTTGCACAAATCTTTCGATCTGGTTGATGGCTTGGGGCCCTGGGGCTTGTGGAGTCTTCTTTGGCTGCACATGGCTTGGGCTAGTGACGGCTAGTGACGGCTAGTGACGGCTAGTGACGGCTAGTGACGGCTAGTGACGGCTAGTGACGGCTACGAGTGAAGGACTTGGAGTTCAGAGTGTGACATCATGTGACTCATCTCATGGCTCTTTTTGAAAGCCTTGAAAACTTCCCAGGAACTCTAGGGACTGTCAAAGCCGATTTGTTTTTGCTGAATATGTCTCACCGCTCAATACAATGTGGCAATGTTGAAAAAAGGATGCGTTTGTGAGGGTGCCTTGGAAGCTAGATTCTAGTTAGACATCTGCCACATGGTCTTGCTTAGCTTCTGTCATGTCAGTGCTGTTCATGAAACAAAATCCTATTGCCATGCAATGCCTCTTCGATGGCAATTTTCTGGAAACCGCCGCTGCCGCCTGAAGCTCAAGCTTCACCACTTCCACAATGCATAGATAGATCCACTAATCCACTACTTTGTAAACAGTTTACTAGGTTTACTAGGTGAATCGATTGAAGTCTTGTGTTCTGCAGAGTCCTAGGTTCCAAATGTATCCAAATGTGGCATTGGCATGCATTGGCAACAATGTTCGGAGCTCTACTGCTTATCTCTACGTTGATGCATCGGACCATGGATCTGGTGGCATCACAGAAATGCAGCCATGAGTGAATCATAGACCCACTGAATTTGTTAACTAGTACTAAACCTTCCATTTTCTGGGTCCATAGTCATTTCATCTATTTTCATCTTACCTCTATTTTGACTCATACTCATTGTGCGTGTTTCTGAGTCTTCTGCCCTTCTTCTCAGCATTGGCAGGCTTCTCTTCCTGCATCAACTTGAAACATCCGGCTCTGTTGAGCTTTCTTGCAGAACCATATCATGTACGTGCCATCTCCAAGCGAAAATCAGCACTCCCTTTTGACCTTGTTCAACTATGTTTACCGTTTACCTCAGTGCTCGCCCAAATTTGGGTTGTGAAACAATAAGTCACTTCCTTGTGACACCTATGACAACCTGTGACCACTCTGACCACTCCAAGAGAGTGGACGGTTCCCGCGTTGCACCTCCTCACTGTCGCTGTCCTCTTCAATCTGAACGCGCCTACCGAAGCACGTATGCAAAATATGTGCAATATGTATGCAACATATGTGCAATGTGTGTGCAAAAGATATGCAATATGTACGGTTGAAACTTGATTCAGTGTCACTAGTACTGTGAAGCAAGGCGATTGAACATTGTGTTGAATGGCCAGTCAACACTTTGGAACATTTCCTCGAGCATTTTTTGAAACAGTCTTGGCAGCCATACTACGTCGTGAAGTTGCCCATCTCGTGCAAAGAACAACAGAAGAAGACCCGGAAGGTAGCAAAGGCATCCGAAGGCATCCGAAGGCAGAATGCTGTGCTATTTTTTGGCCTGTTGCAAAACATGTCAGGACGACGTGTAACCCGCTTGAAGAGGGACAGCGGCCTCAGCTGCACTCGATGTATGACATTGTTTCGTGATAGATCTCCTCAGCTGTCGTTGTTCATTGACACGATCATGAAGACTTCACTCCACAAAACTGTTTTTGAAATTGTTTCATGGAATTATACAGCATATCTATATTGATCATATTATATTATACACATCATGTCTGAGACGGCGACAATGCTAGGGGCATCAACCAGCTGCTTGGGACCTCCGAAGCACTTCTCTGGTTGGAAAAACATGGATTCCATGATTCCTTGCTATCTTCCTGACACTTCCTGACACTTCCTGACACTTCCTGACACTTCGTGACACTTCGTGACACTTCCATATGTTCTTTCCCGATCAGCCCCTTCTGGGCACCTTTCCCGTTTTGCTCGGTGCATGGCCTCAGCACAAAAAACGTAAAGCACTGCGCAAGCACGGAATTTTACTGCTTGAAGACATGACATCTACAGCGTTTGCAGAAGTCTGTTTGGGATTTGGCTGGGGTCAGAAACTGAAACCACTCAACACAAGAATTATCCCGACAAACAACCCCAATAACAACAAAAACATTGAATATCATTGAATTGCAACATGCCACAAAATGCACATTTGGATGAACCGCTGAGCAATACAGTGTACACAGTGAAGGAATGCGATGGAATGGGGTTCTATCTTTACATGGAGAAGATTGACAAAACAAGGCAGCAACAAATTCTATATGTTGGTCCACCGCCACCACCGCCACCACCGTCACCGTCACCACAGTCACCACCCTAAGCACTCTCACCGCCACCACCTCCAAACCTACCATCACCATGTCCACCATATCCACCATCACCAGCGTCACCATCATCACAACTGCCATTACCACCAGTTTAACCCACCAGCACCGGCACCACCACCACCACCACAGCCGCCGCGCCTGCTACTCCACACAGGGGAAAATGTTGAGATATGTTGAGATTGGAATCTCATCTTCTACTTCTACGCAGTCTTCATGATATCTGAACGCCTGTATCACACTATCATAACTTATCAGAACATCATAACCATGACCTCGCTGCAACGCCCTCTGGGGTCAACACGCGGCTTCGTCATCCCGCAATTTCCGACGAGCCACCTATGTTGACAAAGTGGGGACACGGAACGCACGATTTCAACATGCCTCCAGTGATTCCACAGGTCCAAACGCCCCCATAACATAAGGCATACATAAGGCCACTAAATCTGAAAACTGATGCATATTCCAAACATTTCCAAACAACCCACGCAACATTACACAACTACACACATCTACACACTATGATGGATCAAAGTAAAACCATCATCGTTGCATTCATCGAATGGCTCATGAGTTCCAGAGTCCACCAGGGTCCACCAGGGTCCACCAGGGTCCACCAGGGTCCACCAGGGTCCCTGCCATCAGATCGCCATTGATCTGCGAGTTGCCGGGCGAGAGCAGCAAGGCTTCTTGAAAGGCACGGACCTTGGCGCCGAGCAGCTGAATCTGTTACGGACAACTGAATGAATTTCGTCAGTTTGTTCATTTCAATGTCCAACTGACGAAATTCATGGCATTTCACGGCAATTCTACATGCGTCATGATGATCATCATGCCAAATTTGCTCTGTTGGCGCTGTTGAAGTGCCATGAACTGAGAAGTCCAGCAGCATCCTTGTAGCGTTGAAGCTCATAGAGTGCTTTGCCCTTTCGATGCAGTGCCTGCAGCTGTGCAGGGGCTGTGCAGGGGCTTGTGGGGCTGTGTTGCACCGTCAGACTCTTCACCTTCTCTTGCACAGATCTGGAATCTTGGCATTATTGGCATTCCAATGTGTCACTCGGTCATTTTATTCTTATTATTTCTTATTAATCTCAGTCTGCTGCGTTGATGGGTGCATGATTTCCGTGAAATCGCTCAGCGCCTTGACATGACTTCCATTCAAGGCCAATGCATGCTCGCAGTCCTGACTACGATTGTCGATCGCGTCCGTGGACACATCTGCTGATGTTTCTGCTACATTGCTACATTTCATTTGCATTTCATTAGCATTTCATTTGCATTTCATTAGCATTTCATTTGCATTTCATTAGCTGATCTCACAACGAGTTTGAGGCCGATCCTCCAGGGCATCCTGTGCTTGGTCCAGCTTCAGCCTCACCTGTCACCGGGCTGTGCTGTGCTGTGGCAGCTGTGGCGCACCGAGGCACGAACCAAGGCACGATTGGCCCAAGTGGAGGGATCATCTGCCATGTACTGCAGACTTCGGCTGTAGTAAGCCTGCAGCAAATGCAAGAACAAACAAGTCTCTTCATTGCGGTGCATTGACACAATTGCGGTATCAATCGGTACCACTTTATTGGATTTAGTAAAGGTTTGCAGATATGTCCGACTCCTGCCAAACCATGCCACCTTTGCTCGATAGCACAGTAGGCCTTCCTTAGTAGACCTTCGTTTGCAGCCCTGCCCTGCCCAGAGATGGAGCACCTCTGCCTCCTGGTAGTCCTTGGAGTAGAAAGCCTGGAAATTTGTCTGGGAATTGAAATGTGAGTAACTCACAACATGATCCTCCTTTCCCTGGTTTCGATGAATGGCTGACTTCACTGCTGCTGTGTGGCCTCGTTACCTTTCTCTTTTTCGCTGTCAGCCATGTGCTTCTTGTGCGCCTCTCAAGGACATCTAGGTGCTACTGCATGTCCGAGGTAACGACGTCGACGTAGTGGCTTGAGCATTAGACTCCAAAAGCCACATCACAAAGGTGGAAATTCTATGGGCTCTGACAGCAATGTTGGCTGAATTTCAGGGTCGCAGTTGCCTCTGGGACTTCGTTCACGTTGGTCACCACATCTGAGCTGACCTTCAAACCCGCAACATTCCATGCCACCACAGCAAGTAAAGTCTGACTCATGACACTAATGCGTATGCTTGGAAGAAACACCTATGCACACAAGAAAGATCAAAAAAGTCTATCTACTAGCGTACTGTTGGCAGGTCCAAATCGGGCGTTCTCACAGGGTTTCGCTGTTGCTGTTTCGCATTCTTCTCAGCGTTCGCAATGATCACGAGATGTCGGCTGAACCTTGGCTCCTGCGACCTCGTCCCAAAGGGCGTCCTTCTCGGGTAGCACATCCCGGTTTGGACCCGCCATTCTGCCATCTGGATGAACAAAATCAACCAAAATCATCAAGTGTCTTTGTCAAAATGTCCCTTCAAATATGCCTCTGAAGATTATAAAGATTATAAAGATATTAGAGATATGATATACTTCAGATATGATTCATGAAATATTCATGATCTACAGCGGCCTAGTGGCCTAGCGATTTTGATACTCTCGCGAGGTCCTCGGCTCCCTCTCGCACCCGCCGCGGCTCGGTGGAGGTCACTGAGGTCACCTGGCAACGTCACGATGGCCACGATGGTACAATATGCACAATATGCACAATATGCACAATGGAAGACGATGTACAAATGTGACAAGGATGACAAGCATGTGACAAACATGTGAGAAAAATGGAGAAAATTGTGTCACAATCAAATGGAACAAATACAACATGTGATGCAATGGGACTATATGGCAAATGGCAAATGATTGGCAGATTGGCAGATTGGCAGATTGGCAGATTGGACTGGGCTGGAGATGAAGTAAGACATGGTACTCCAAGACTTTTCTAAATGCGCGCTCCTTTCGAATTCTTTTTCATAAGTTTTTCCAATCCTTGCGGTGCATCCAACAAGTATTGAGACAAATCACTAGCTTTTCTTCTTGCTTCTGCCAACTTGGATCAAACTCGAACAACTCGAACGGCTCGAATGGGTCGAAAAGCTCAATCCTGCAATCCAGCCTTCCGATTTTGGCCATCCACCTCGAAATGACGGTTGCGGCGCAGAACCTAATCAGCCTGATCAACCTGATTGCATGGCTCATATGGCGCTTCACCGTTGGTGACACTATTTAGACCATTTTAGACCAAGGAAACTTTGCAGATTGAGCCGCGGACGTTGGTTGCTTGCCACTGTGCCTGTGCCAAATCAAGGCAGTGCGAAAGCCGTGCCGAAACACTCTCAACTTGTGGCGCCAGCTTTCCAGGTTCAATCGGTTCAAGCTGAAAGATGCTGAAAGATGCTGAAAGATGCTGAAAGACCTGTATCTCAGATCTTGAGGTCTTTCAGATCTTTCAAAACCATGTCTCTGCCGCACCTTTTGGGGCAAGTCATCCCAAATGGAATCCTTGCGGCGCTGACATCTCTGTCCCTCAAGTGTGGCATCATGTTTTTTTTTAAATCAGACTTTTTCTAAATGCTGACGTCTGACATCGGAGCATCCCCCGTAGTACGTGGCAAAAGATGTCTAAAGAAAGTGCCATCTACAAGAAGGATATTAATACCCATTTAGAATCACGATAAATTGCAATATCTGCATTGAACCAAATTGAACCAGCCATTTTGCATATTTCACTACTAGAGATAGCTATCGGATAACTATTGGATACCAAGATCGAACGTCCAGCGCATGTCTCCTTCTTCGCCCTCCGGAGAGCTGCGTCGGTCTCCTCTGACGCTCAAAGACACTCGAAGGAAAGAAATTGAGCGTCAATCCACTCTTGGAACGGAGCCTTCATGATTCGTACTGGATTGATGCCGAAATGCTGAGAAAAGCAATGAAAGGCAATGAAAGGAATCAGTATTACAAAAACATACAAAAACATACAAAACCCACATATAATTTCCCTGTTCCATTTGCTTCTTCTTTCATGTGCTTCCACCCGCTTCCAGCTTTCAATATCTTTCAATCAGGTCTTGCCCACATCGGAATCGCGACAGGACCTGCTTGCTGAGAACCTTTTTCTGCTCTTGATGGAAGGTGACAACGCGTCACAACTCGCCCCACATTTTGAGGGTCACAGCTGCGGTGCCGGAGGGTATGCCTGAGCTAAAAAAGGCAGGGAATGATTGGCATTGCTGGCTCCAAAGAGTTGGGGTTGACAATGGCACAAAATGACACAAGACATCACAAGACTAAGGTCCCCTGCGTTGAGTTTTCGATGGGGCGCCTCGCTTCGTCTTGCCTTGCGGGAGACAAATCCAATGTCATCCATTTACTCAAATGTTTCCTGGAGAAGCAAAGATCAATCATGAACCACCAGTTCCTGGAAAATCTTCGCTGCCACCCCGCCTCTCTTCGAGCCGCTTCTTCCTAAGCCAGTTTAAATTGGTTGACATGCTCATGCTCTGAAAATTCAACGGCATCTTTTCCATGGACAGCTGCTCATGCTCTGCTGAAGATCCAAATGCCATATTCAAAACCACAGATCTGCCGGTAGAGAATGGCGAAGAAGAATCGCAAAAAGAAAAAACGAACAACAAAAGGTCTTTTTGGTGTTTTTGTTTCCGGTGTCTTCTCACCCTATTCGCACGTGCCTGGAAGGTCGTGGTACCTTCATTAAACCTGCAGAGAGGCAGCTTGGCAGGCGAGGCTTGCAGAAAACATGGGGATGGAACTGATTGAACATCATTGAACCACAATGAACCATAATAAAGCATGGAATAAGTTGACATCTACCGAGTTCACATCAACTTGTTCCAAATGACAATCGAACAAGTCATTCCACATGGACAATACATGACAATATCTGACAATACACACCAGGTGCCAGGGCCTGGGGTCAACCTTGGTGGCAAGAACAGACCCTCTGTATCTCTCTGCATTGTCAAGATTCACTTGCATTTCAAAAGTTAACGTCCAATGAATGCACCCTGAGAGAGTGTGGGTACGATTCTCTTGGGCACTCAAAAAATCCATACAATGTTGATGTGATGTCAGTCGACTGGTGCGTATGTCATGTTGCAAACTGCATCCACCTCTCTTCGGTACACGGCAAAAAAAGGAATATCGTGAAGTATCTCCAACACCACACAGGCCAAGTTCTCCCGACCAGCTCTGCTGCTGTTTGATCATCCAGAGGCCTGGAAACATGGAGATGTGATTTTCATGGATTTTCAGCAAAACGAAAAGTCGTCAAAGTTGTCATACGCTTTCAAAGTCCTTTCCAGTTCTTCCTGCTTCAGAATCCTTCCGAAAGTCAGCAGCCCATTTCTGCACGCCTCGAAATTCTCTCTAAATATGGCTGGACCTGCGCCACGAAAACAAAAATGCGAGGATGCGCCAGAGGCAAACTTGGCAGGGTCAAGCTATAACATTTTGATACATTTTGGCTTAGGCCATGAGACGGTATCCTTGTGTTCCAATTCTTTGCACATGTTGCAGATATTTTGATAGTTTTTGATATATTATGTTGTCCATGGTGCTGTCCCAATTCCGAATTGGTAGGTGGTCCATGCCTCTGTGTAGATGTCGTCGAACTTCCGACCCTTGGCTCGCTCTTGGTCCAGGTATTCCTGTCGTGACTTTGCATCGAGACCATACAATAGTAATACAGTACCCACTGTACCCACTGTACCCACTGTACCCACTGTACCCACTGTACCCACTGTACCCACTGTACCCACTGTACCCACTGTACCCACTGTACCCACTGTACCCACTGCCAAATTGTGCCGTTTTTTAAGTCTCAGTGCCAAGAAACTCTACAAAATGAATTCAAAATGATACAAAATCATCTCAAATTGATGAAATATGATGAAATCATCTCACATCACATTCTTTCAAGTAGAGTGAGTAGAGTGGAGCTTCGCGGCTCTCCTTGACCACGTATGACGCTTCTACCGCTTCACCTTGGCCAAGTGTGCTTCGGTGCTGAGTTTAGATGCAGCATGGTGACAGAATCTCTCCTTGTTTTGCTAATTCTTTGCATGGATGCGTTTAAAGTTTAAAGCATGTCAACAAATGGGAGAATTCGTGATGCAAATCTAGACCACGTTCATGTCAGCCCCAACAGACCACTGGCTCAAGCTCCAATAAGTCCAACTGCCTTTTTTCCACAAAACTTGGGAAATTGTCAATTATACCGTGAAAGGATGGAAAGGCCAGAGCCAACGGGAGCCAAAGGCACAGATTGATCGCGTGACGATCTCGCACACTTCCTTGGATCGCGTGTCTCCCGGATGTCTTCTTATCTACACCATGTTTCCGGAATGCCTAGAAATTGCCAAGTGGCACAAAGCACAGTGAGAAAGTGTGTTCACCAAAATCATCATATGAAAAGCACAACTAAGACCAAGAGTACTAAGTAAGTTTACAAAATAAACTGTCCAACTATGCTCTTTCCATCACTTTCTTGTCAAGAAAACCATGGCTGATCCTGCTGACACTGCTCTCAGGTGGTGACAGCTTGTGATCTTCCCTTCATCCATCCAGGGCGGACGTCTTCAGGTTGCGCCTGGGAAGCATGTCCGACGGACCCATGACCCAAAGAGGACGAAGGCCACGGTGGCTACAAGACAGACAGAACACAGAGATCTATGATGATCCATGATCTGTGAGATCTTGAGTTTAGAAGATTTATGAAGATTTTGGATTTTTAGTTTAGCAATGTTAAGCACGTGCAGGTGACCGCAGATTCTTTGTGAAGTATTGTGTGTGAGTGTGTGTGTGTGTCAGTGACATGGAGCTGTCACTTTGGGTGCTGGGCAAAGAGTCCTTGCGTGATGACCTGGGGTTGAGAACACATGCCGGCATCGATGTTTGACACGTTTCAGGCACCAAATGCCTTTGCATAGCATCGTCTGCATTGAAAAGGATCACTGAACTGCCAAAATCCATGTCTGCCATGTCTGCCATGTCTGCCATGTCTGAATCCGCTGTGGTGTCCAGAGTCAGCGGCATTGCTGGCACTGCTGGCACTCCTTACGTCCTATCACTATCTATCACTATCCATCACTCAGGTTCCCTGGGTCAGTCGGAGCCTTGCCAGTGCCTGCTGGAGTGCCGCCGCCCTGCGCGGCGGCATCCATGAACCTCGGCAAAGGCACAGCATATCACAGCATCCTGAAAATGGACTACACATGAATAATTCACATGAATACAATGTTGATGTCGATGATTTATATGATTTGTGACGAGATCATGTGATATGCACGCTTGCGTTTCAAGTAGAACACTGATTTGGAGAGAACTTGACACATGGACATCTGTATATATGACACGCATGAAGCCGTGTGAGTAGAAGGCAACTAAGGCAACTTCAGCTATGGCGCTATGGCCCTGAGCATCACACCATGTCGCGTTGCTTGTCATGGTGGCTTTCCGCCCCGGAGACGTCCCGATGGCACTTCAGCCAAGAGCGGTCGCACAAAGGCACAACATGGCACAACACTGCGAGAGCCACGCTCCAAAAGGTGCAGATTTGATGCACGGTGCAACAAACGTTCAAGAGTTTGAATTTTGGAGGTGGAGGACCCTTTGATCAAAAAGTCTGTAGATGCTTTCCAAAAGGTACTCGAACTGTCTGCAAACCAAGATAAACAAAGGACCGACATATACATACATATACTAGTCAACACCTGGCATCAACGGAGTCCTTGACACTGGCCTCCCAGTCAAGGATATCTTGCATCGCTTCCTGCTCCTCTTGGGCTGTCCTTAGCACGGTGCGAGGGAACTACCTGAACGAAGCAAATTGTGAACCGGAACCGAACCGCAGAATCTTCTGAAAGATGTGGAAGCGGCGGCAATACGTAGAAACTTCCCAGGAAGTCTAGGACCCTCTTGACACGAGCTGCTGTGCAAGTTGCAGCGCAATCGGCTCTTTTTTTTTCGCCTCGTCGGACGCTTCGGGCTGTGGCATGGGATCCGCATCCGGCGCATCAGGAGCGTCCGGCGCATCAGGAGCGTCCGGCGCGTCAGGAGCGTCCGGCGCGTCAGGCGCGTCAGGGGTCCCGGTTGCGGTGTCGGTTGCGGTGTCGGCCGGTGGCGAATCTTTGGCCTTCGGGGAACAGCCTGACACCAGTTTTGAAAGGCTCAACAAAGATTGGCAAACCATGAGTTTCAATTGAGTTTCACTATCCAAACTTCACAGGCATGATCTGAATCAAACAGAGATCAAACAGAGATCTGCTGGATCGAGTTGGAACCGGAACAGTTCGAGCAGGGTATGGTAGAAAAATGTAGAAAATGATGGAAACCTCTTTGCACCACATCTGACCGGCCTGGCAGTTCGGAACTTTCCTGCCGGAGAGGCAAAGGACCCAAACAGGACATTCTTTCACCCCCATAACTCAACTCACAGAATGCGATTGAACCTTATTGAACCTAAACTAAATGATGTGCCATGCATGCATTGCACCATCATACAACGTTCGATGAAACGAGGATCGTTACCATCGTTACAGTACCTTTTGATTTATTGACACTCTGCTTGACTCTGGCTCCTCCGTCGCTATGGCAGACCACCGAACTTCCTGGCCACGGCTCGCGAATGATGGGACCTCAACTGGCTTGGTATCCGTAAAGAATGTAAAAATCAACATCAGTATCGATCCAGACAAACAAATGATATCTTGCGTCAAGTGGGCAGAAACTTCAAAACTGCTCGTCGATGGAATTCAAATGAATTCAAGCTCCCATTCGCCAGATTTTCTCCCTCCGGTCCCACCTCTTCAGGCCTGAAATGGCTTGAATCAGATGGCATATCCGGGCATATCACCAAATGGGAGGCATTGGGCAGATCCAGTTGTCACGGATTTAGTCCGCACATGGACATATGGATCCTTCACCGTATGCAAACAGAGCATGAACATGTGTGACTATTTTTGAATTACTGTGGTTGTCCACAGATGGCTTCAGAAGTCTTAGCCCCCACCGAAAAATGAAACGTCAAGACCAAACATGTAAAATCTCCGCAGTGGTCGTGTTTGAAGATTTTATGGTTTATCATCTCACTATCAAAATTGCCGCAGATAGTGTGCTATCTCTCCTTTTCAGCAATGCATTTCAATGTGATCCCAGCTGTGCAACTCAAGGTGATCATTTGTGGAGAAAATTGCAGAAATCGCAACAAAGCACATTTTGGGGCAGTTGCTTGTGCGGCGTCGCGTTGGAGCTCTGAGCCAACAAACCTTAGAGCCGAAGCTGTGGCAACTGAAGACAATCAGCTGGCCTAAGGAGTTCAAATCTTAAAACTGCACCTGGCCAATGTCATCCACGTGCAATACGTGCAATGCATTCCCAGAATTCTGCCATTTTTGACCAATGGAGTCCCTTCAATTTGCCGCCTCCGATAGTCAAGAGCAGCAATTATTGAAATCTGGATGAACAAGGTCCTGGATAGTCATGGAATTTTCATGGGAACCAACTTATGCAAAGGCTTGGATGCCAAGATGCTGTACATGGATCGGGAAGACACTTCCTGCAGAGAAATGGTTGATATATAGTGAGACATCTGGTGGAATGATGACAGAAGTTGCTTGAGAATACTACAGGAACTACGTAGTAGAACTTTGATTTGCATTTTTAAACTTCCGTTGACTTGTGTACTCTGACAGGCGAGATTCAATAGTGTCGGCCCCTGACAATGACATTGCCGTTGACATTGCCATGCTCTCCAAGCTCTGGCAAAGAAAAGTAAAAAGGACGCAATGGATCACAATAATACAGCAAGTATAAGTAATATGTAATATGTATATAAGTTGTCTTTTTTCAATTCCACCATAACTGCACCATCACTACACCCAGACTGTGCACATTGGAAAACCAGCCCGGGAGGATTCTGCCTTCTCCAAGCTGACCTGGCAGTCGGTTGCAAAAACGGAGCCGCGGCAAATCGAACAACTCAGCGCATCTCAGCGCATCAGTGTTGTAAGACGACTCAAATTAGGAATTTGTCGAAGATCCATGTCACATTTCCAAGGATGACATCACCTGACGTCATATCATATCATACTAAGTTACTATATCGTATTTCTTTATTCAATTGAATGGCTAGGTCACTCCAGTTGCACCCACAAACTGCAGCTGACCGCTGGTGACGCTAGTGGACACTGCCAGCCTCTGGGCTTGGAACTGGTAATAAGGCCTCTCAACAGGAACACCAAAGCCGCATCTGAATCTGACCAATGATCACACTCTTATCTTCAAGATTCTTCAAGATGCAATAAAGTGCCGAAAGCTACTGATGTGAGCATCTTGACTGCTGGCAATGTCACAGTCTGCCAACACGTTTCTGCACCTTCTTTGGCAAATCACCAGCTTTTTCATGTTCAACCGCCTGTGCTTGGCCCAAATCAATTTCAAATCAGACTTCAGTCAGGTTTTGGTATGGCCAAGTGAGCCTTACACGATTTGATATTAAAAAGTCCTGAACTCAGACCTTTCAGCAGTTCTCGAGGTTATTAGATCAGGAAATCTGTCTACGGAAGCACTACACGATTGCAGCTCTGCTGGCCAACTGCATGTTTGTTTTTTCTTCGACTGTCAACCCATAGGACCGTGCCTTGTCTGCTTTGTCTTCATCCTGAAAGGAGACCGGTCTGGGGAGACCGCATGACGAATCTCTGGTCCGTGGATTTGAAACACAACATCGGGTTGACAAAAGATTGAGAAAAGATCAACAAAGTCGATTGAGAAGCATGGCCCACGCTGACCTTGGCGTCCGCATTCTTCTCGGGCTCTTCAGCTTGGCTTGGCCCCGGCAATGGCTTCTCCTCCAACCCATATTGCCACACGTTAACAGCCGCTGTTTCGATTTGGCGCCACAGAAATTCTAGCTGGTTTACATTGGTTTACTATGTTTACCTGCAGTGCGACAAAAATCATTCCGAGCGTTTCAGCTGAGCGTTGCTTCAGCTGACCTCAACACCGACATCCGGCTCGACATCTGCGGGCTGTTCTGGGAGCAGCTGTGTGTCCTTCCAAGGAACTCATCTGCAACAGACTTTGGACATTTGCAAAATTCAGCCGTCTATCAGTTACTCTATCTGCTTTGTCTGCCTCTGTCTCTGATTTGTGGTTTTGATTTCTGTTCATGCAGCACCCAGCATCCTGCAATCAAAGCAGTGGGTTGGCTATCATGATCTATATATAATTTATTTATATATTATATATTTATATAATGTATCTCTGCAAGGCACACAGCACACACAATATAGCATAGCACACCGCACGCACACGACTCTTTGCTTCCTCGGCTTCTGCTCCAATCACAGGTTCGTCAGCCTCCACCAAGGTCATAGTGTCAATATGCTATGAACATCTATGTGTAACACTATGAACCTATCAATACCTATCAGACCTATCATCAAACAGGAACGCAAGGGTTTGGCTTTGTAGTCTTGCTACATTCTGGCTTCAACTCACTGATGGGGCTTGGTAGAGTAGCAATTTGTACAACTCGAGCATCAGCTGGCTGCCAAGTTTTTTCCACAAAATGGTTCTGCTGATCCTTGAAACTCGAAAAATAGTCAAAAAATCACGGCATCTGTGACTCACAGGCTCAAACAATCGGCTGCTGCATTCGAGCGGACCTTCTCGAGCCACTTCATGCGATGCCATGCATGATACATCTCGAGTGCAAGATATGTTGACTGCCAATCAGAATCTGCAAATTCACGACATGTTGATTGATCAGCGGAGGTCTGGTTCGCCAAGTCTTCTTCCGACTTCTTGAAATGGACGTACCACGAGAGCGAGAGCTGCAGACTCAAAGGCTTCCAGCAATCTAGCAGCATTTTCTGCACATCGATACCTTCATCTTCCAGTTCCTGCAAAAAGGCCGTGAAGCACAGAAAGAGGTCCTGATATGCTTCTTCACACTGTATTTGCTTTGCTTTTGGGGATGGTATTTGGCAAATGATGGACTTGAGTTCGCCGGGATGGATGGGCTTGCCATTGACCTTGAGGCATTGAGAAAGGTGCTTTTTTGCGGCACAAATTTGCCTCTTGCGGGGAAAAGGGTCTTCTGTTTTTGGATCTGCTCATCAACGGCTTGAGCTTGTCCTGCTGATCTTGTGGCTCTTGAGATGGAATTGAGACGCCAGCCATCTCCTGGTGCTGCATAGTGCACCACCAAAGCACCTGAGGTGATTTCTCTTTGAAAGCCCCTTTGGATCCTCAAAATCCTCATGGACATCAATTGCGTGGGCAATTTCCTAGTGCGACAACTCGCCTAAATCTGGAGCTGCGCTCGAAAAGGCCCGACGCATTTCTTGGACTCGACATGTTCCAGTCGTTGCCACGAGGAAAGCAATGTGATTCGTGCTTTCATCTGAGCGGAGATGGCCCTTCTCATTGTCCATTGTCATCCCTTCTGCTGGAGGGCGGCCATGGCATAGATGGCTGCCGGACTTCCTAGAGGTGGCGCCATTGGTATCGCACAATGCGGATATGATCTTTGACCGAGCCTTAAATGCTCTACTCTGCTTGAGCACCAATTAAAATAATTACAACAACAGGCGACGCTTTGATTTGCCATGCCTTTCCCTGCTCGTAGCAAGAGGCAAAAGGCAAAAGGCAACATCGCGACAGGAACAGAACCCAATGAGGGGATTGGTACTGTCTTGGTGGCAGAGGTGGCAGCCTGCTTCTGCTCGACCGCTTTGTCATCCACCTGAGGAAAAAGAAAGGCAATTCACAGAAAGACGATAAATTGACGTATACGACTGCTCAAACAGAAAAAAGGTCGAAGGTGTTCTAAATGCCCCAGTCTGGTCAGAAATTACTTCGAATCTGTAAGCACCAGTTGTTTAAATGCACATAATCTTCCAGACATTTCGCGCCTCCACTGTCACCTGCTCAGACTGCTCACCTCCAGTTCCAGCCTGCAGTCAGCGAGAATATCATTGCATCATATTGCATCTCTCACACAGTGTTCATGTGTACCGTCGACTTCAATGATTGGTTGAAGATTAAGCCAAGACACGAAAGGCAAAGATCCTGATCCATCCATTCCGGAAAGACCTTGTCACAGTCCAAGTGGTGTCATCTGGATGTCATCTAGAGACATCACAAAATTCAACATAGATTCTTCGAGCAATGTGAGATACGTCTCCCACACGTTTTGAATTACTGCTGTTGTTCATATGATGTTCAAACAGCTGTACTTTGTAACGATGTTCACAATTGTGATTTCAAACATCGCACAGCTGAGCTTGGAGCCGTCAGACTGACCATCCAATCCATGCTGTCGCCTCACCACAGTCTACGTCACGGGCGATAAGTCAATTCAAGTTTGAGGAACCCCTGAGCCCCGACGCCATGTTCGATTTGTGCACGGCTTTTGGATCGCTTTCATTTGGCAATGTAGTTGAATCGAGTTGAATCGAGTTGAATGATGAATATGATGAATATGATGAATGAATGATGAATGAATGATGAATGAATGATGAATGAATGATGAATGAATGATGAATGAATGATGAATGAATGATGAATGAATGATGAATGAATGATGAATGAATGATGAATGAATGATGAATGTAGTTGAGCTGCCACGGAGTTGTGCGCTTGACCCTTGGAGGCCCTTGGACTCGTCCCTTGGACTCGTCCCTTGGACTCCGCACGCCAGCAATCCTTCCTCTTGCAGTCGATCCGCAGGGCCTCGCTCCAATGTCACACGACTCAACTTTGCATGGCTGTGGGGAATGGCCGGAATGGCTTAGAATTTTGGCACATTGGCTGCATTGGCTCAAGATTTCTCAAGAATCTGACACAAGTTCACATCATTTCATGAAACAAGAGATGCCGAGATGCCTCTGTTTCATTTGACAGGATCCAAATCCCCACGTGGAATGCAGTGATAATGTCTTGATCTCGCTTGGAACCCTTTTAACGTTAAGGTGTCATGGCGTTCCGAAAGACGATGGTGTTGGATGCCACAGCAGTTTCTGCTGGTCCGAATGAATCAGAACATATCAGAACAATCGGAAGGAAACGTCAAGCAGTTTTTGGTGGGGAAGGAATGGGATGGGCACAAAGTCGGTATGGCACACGATCTCCTTGCCGAGGGACTCATGACCATGTCAGAGCCACAAACCTTCACAAGAGCATTTGGAAATGAAGAATACAATATGGATCAATATGGTCCATATGGTTTAATAGTAAATTTAATAAATAAAACTTACTATTAGTGAATATAATTCAATATGATCAATATGGATGAGCATGAACAGCTAAAATGCTCATCTCATTGAGTTGCCTTCTAAGTCCAGGCCACAACAACTTCGAAACATTAGCTTGATATAGCTTGATTCTTCTGGCACGAAAATTGGTCACTCTACACAGCAATCACGTCGAATCGTCGAATCATGTTTTGTTTCTTCTTTTGAACATCAGGTTTTCCAGCAACTCCAGGCCTCAGAATCCAAGAACGGAGTGATGCCGATGCATCCCAAACCTTCCAACTCCAACCATAGACCTGGCAGGTATTCCATGGTATTCCTCAAGACTTGAGACCTTTGAGACCTTTGAGACCTTTGAGACCTTTGAGACCTTTGAGACCTTTGAGACCTTTGAGACCTTTGAGACCTTTGAGACCTTTGAGACCTTTGAGACCTTTGAGACCTTTGAGACCTTTGAGACCTACAACTTGTAGCCAAAAGCATCTGAGTTGGGAGATTTTCACCATGCACCGTGTTGCATTGTTGCATTGCATTGTTCACCGTTGTTCACCCCAAGAATCATCAATCTCTTCTCCCGCACCCGCTTCCCCGGAGCCACGCCTGAAGTAGCCATCTTCCATCGCTGATTGCTGGTGTTTTGGACGCAAGTCTCATCTGTCGGTGCTAGTTGTAAATACCTTGGGAATTCCAAAATCAACCACAAATCATCGGTGACACAGGAACTGCTTTTCAAGTTGTACCCTTGTACCCTAACTTGTTGTAGAACACATTTCAAACACCGTATATGATACCCACGTGTCATATTCCGAAGAGGATCTCCACACCGATGCTGTGGGAAACACATTGCCAAAGCTATTCACCTGCAACGTAGTCAAGCAATGCAAGTACAAGATATGATCTATTTCCGTGTCAAAACGTTGTCTCCTGGAAATAATGTCAGGCATGGTCAAGCAACATCCCAGTCTATCACTTTCTCACACCACCGCCACTAGCATTTGAAGCCCAGTGGCTCTTTACCTTAGTTGCCAATGAAGACAACTACAGTGGGAGCATGGAAGACAACTGCTCGCAAATGGCTGGTCATAAGAAAGGTAAACACGACAAACTCTCCACGTTTCGTTGGAAACATTGCAAATCTTTTGGGGTCGGGAACAATCTGATCCTTACAAAGCCTTCACCCTTGTGGGGAATGTTGGCCAGATGTTGACCAGTTTGGGCAAGGAGCCGGGCTCGTAGAAGATCACCGGTTCCATGGCAGAGTCACAGTACTGACTCTTCAGCACCTGCAAAAAAACGGCTGCAAGGTCCGGGATTTCACTTGCGCACTCTGGAGACGAAAAGTATAGAAGTATATAGAAGTAACATTTCCGGCAGAGTTCTTGGGGAGAATGATGGAGAATGCTTCTGATTTTTTGCGATGTCATGTGTACTGGATGGACTTCAATTTGAGGCCAGGACATAGACGGGGTTCACGTTCAGCCAGTTGTAGCAAAAGTCTTCGCAGGACTGGCAACGGTCCTTGTGCAATTGCTGCGCGCTCCAACTGCGAGTTGTAGTGCAGCAAGTTAAGCACTAGAATCACTAGAAGATCGGAGACTTGAAGCAAGTTCAGCTGACTAAGTTCTGATGAAGTTCTGATACAGCTCAGTTCATCCATCGTCTCGTTTTTTTTCGAATTTCGTGACCAACGTGACCAACTTCCAGCGACTTCCAAGGCACATCGTCGGAACGTTCTCGGCTTCGTTCCAAGACGTCCAGCTCACCACGGAGACGGAGTGGCCATGGAACACCCAATGCCCAAAGCAATGTCCAGTAGATCGCCTCGAAACAAATCTGTCAAGATCTGTCAAGCTTATTTCAGAAGTGTATCCACCAGGAAAGCAACGTTTTCATACGTTTTCCATATGTAAGAACGATTAATAGAACAGTGTGAACAATAGTATCAATGTGAGAACATGTGAGAACAGCAGAAAACACCAACAAACGGGTGCATCGTGGAACGAGTAAACTGGTCGCGGAAGACTGACAAAACAATGCGGGACCACATTGACAGACTTCTGAAATCTGAACCTCAAAGCATCTCAGAGCTTTGTTTTTCTCATCTGTTCTCATCTGTTCTATTCGTTTCTGCTATTGTCCATATACATCCATATACTGTCTAGCTCTGACTACTGTTTGCCAGTACTATCCAAGCGGCATAAGACATGATCACGGACTGCAAGATGGAAATCCATTCCCTGCAAGGGAGTTCAAGTGGCCAGGACCAATCTTGTCAAATCACGAAGTGGCATGTAAATTGAACTGTCGCAAAACACAGCTCAAATGTCTGAACTCCCTGCAAAAGACAAGTGTTGTGTCGACTTTTGATATTTTTGTCTGGAAAAATGTCTGATTCTCCACATTTCTCCACCATCGTTTAGCCAAACCAAGTGACCACTCTTGCAACCGCACGCGCCAGTAGGCATGGCAAGCCGCCAACTCCGCCAACAGCAAGCCCCAACCGAAGTACAGCACCATGGAATCCTCAGCGAAGACACTTGTGAAATCTTCTGAAAACATAGACAGAACCATGAACAATTATGAACAGTGCCAAGTCGTATGCCAAGCCGTATGCCAAGCCGTACGCTGTATGCCAATGGCACAAAGACAAGTGAAAGATGTCATCCCCTTCCGTTTGTCCACGCACATTCAACACTGCCACAGCATGTTACGGCATGTCACAGCATGTCACAGCAAAAAAACGTGCTGAACGATCCAAAAAGCTTCGTTTCATTCATTTTGAGTGATTCTCTTGTGAAAGAATGTGAAAGGCACAAATGGCTAGTATGATGTGGGCAGATACTCATGGTATACCCCCGAATGTGTCACCTGCAACATGCTAAATATTGCGAAACCTCGCGAGAGCATTCTATTCCCGAGTTTTTGCTGAACGCCAATCTTCTGCCAAGGCCATTTTAGCCACATCTAATCTCACACCACAAGCAAATCTCCCTGATCGCCCCAGAGAGCAGGCTTGTGCTCAATTGTGTTCACCTAGGTTGCTGCTCCAACGTTTTCAACACTCTGAAGAGGGACGCGGCCTCTTTGATTCGACTAAACTCTATGCAGAATGCCTGCACCTCAATGAACAAATCATGAACATTGATGATCTTGTTGCGGATCAGTGATTGCAAGAAGACACATACCAACCGCACCAGGCGATTCTGCATGTACTTGTCCTTGATGTTTTCGCATGAAGAAATGCAATTGGAGATGTAGAGATGAATAAACTCCGGAGGAAGGTCCACTGATGTCGTCAGTCTGTTCACGACCTCTAAGGAGTGAAGGCTCATCTCCATGTTCACCAGGGCTCCAAAATAGTTGGAGATCTGTGAGCTGGGCATCAACTTCAGCAAGACTTCAATGGCTATCTGCGGGTTGTGCTCGACCAATTCAGGGAGCTTTTTCGGAGTCAAACCGCAGTGGTAGACAAGTTTCACATCTTGCCCTAGGCCATCAATGATCACCTGAGCCTGGTCGGCGGGCAAAGGTGTCTTCACCGCTTTGGCAAACAGCTCTCGTACTTCAGCACCAAGTGAGGTATCAGCACACATTGTGTAATCCCACAAAGGCTCCGAGAGCAGCTGCGAAGGTGACAACCAAAACACCTCATCCACGGTTGCCTCCAAAAGCGGAGGGACGGGTCTTGCCCAAGCTGGTTCCAGTGAAAGCAGAGTCAACTCCTCAGGCTTGAGCTGAAGATCAGAAACTGCACTAATATCATCAAAGTCTTCTCTTGAAGGATCTGACGGGACCCAGTAGCCTTCATCGGACTTGTCATTTATCACTGGTCTGAGGCCCAAAGCTTGAGCTGAATTCACCACCGGAGCACTCTCCTGATGCATCCGCCGTAGAGCGTCCAAGTCTGGGATGACAGGATCCTCTGCCGGATCACAGCTTTGGAGAAAGCCCTGCACACTTTGCTTTGGCAGTTCCTTGGGTAAGGACGACAGGAACTGCAGCAGGAACTTTCTTTCCGCCATGTCATTTGTTGTCTCCACCATCTCCAGCACCAAAGGAACGAAAGGCGTAGTCGCCTCAGTTTCCTGCCGGTAGATGTCGTAGAGAAGGTAGAATCCAACCAAGCGCTGTGTCTGTGTCAAAAGATTGTCCTGGATGAGCATGCAAATGACACAGCCAGCTTTGAACTGGTCAGGCTTGGTGAAACTCCTGTAGAATGTCTGCGCAATCTGCTCGAAGGGCTTGTTTGGCTCCTTCAAGATCGTCAACAAATTGTCCAGCTCCTGCTGCGACAACATGGCCGACGGATGGCCGGTGCCCGCCACGGCCTACGGGCCTACACCCACCTTCTGCTCAAACCTCTGTAAGCCTCTGTACATCCAAGTTCTGTTTGCTTCGGAGTTTGAGCCTCAACTTGCTTCAGTATGGTTCAGCCATAGTTCTAATCGCATTTGCCGACGCGGGCAGAATGTCACCAACAAAATCTGCACTCATGGTGTCATGATTGTCATATTTCAATTTGAATTGAGCATCCACTACCAAGATCTACCAAGACTAACCGGTGACATCAGGACCATCAGGTCACTATCCTCCACTTCACTGAGGCTGGTTCCAACTTGTTGGAGGTGCAATACCTTGGCCATGAGAAGCTGAGCAGAAGAAACGTCCAGGAGGCTTTGACAGGTGGCCAGGATGCCATGATATGCCCATGATATGCCATGTTTCAAGGCCTTCAAGGCCTTCAAGGCCGTAGGCCAAGGGACATCTTCTTGCAGACCCGCAAATGCATGAAGCGCTGAAAGAGGTAAAAGAAGAAGGCCCAAATGCCTCAGGTGCCCAGTTCAATGTCAAGTTTTGAACATCAACAAATTTCAAAAACCTCATGTTGGATCCAAGTCCTAAAGAATTTGCAGTTCGTCTACCGTTGATTGAAGATCCTTTGCTTTTAGAATATCTTAGATCTTTTAGGAAAGTCCCGCATAACATGACATCCTTCAACCATCAACATCAACACATATCGACACCATGCGAACGTCTGCCGTGATCCAATGCGGTTAGGCCACAGAGATATGCCTGTGCCCACCACATGGAGGGCGACATGATGAAAAGCGTGAGGCAGCAACCTCACAGTGCTCAGAGTGCTCAGAGAGGTACAGTATGGCACAGTCAGTGCAACAAATGTGGGCTGGGCGAAGCAGGAAGCCCAGTATGACTACACCCGCCGTGCGAATCATTCGACTCAAGGACATCTTGATAAAGCGTGTTGTGAAAACTGGTGTAAAAAGATTGCCAAGGTCTTCTTAGAGTCTTCTTGTCTGAAAGTCCTCCAATCTTTCATCTCCCGATATCTCCCGATATCTCCACAAAGACAAGATGCAGCAGGGCAATGTCACATGGCCCTGGTAATCCCAGGCCAAACCTGAGAATCTCGAGACAAAGGGCGAGACAAAGGGCGAGACAAAGGGCTCCACAGAATCCAAACGACTCGAAGGACCGATGTGCGGTGTTCTCTATGCGTCATCTCTACAAGGGTAGGAAAAATAGAGAAAAAAATGAAAAAAAAACACACAAGCTCATCAAGCTCTAAGTACTTGGGCTGATCATTCATCCGAGTTCATCCCCAGCATATGGCCAGTGTCACCTTTTGTCATCCTTCGTCAAACGGGCAAAAATTGATCGGCCCAGCGGCCAATGGGAAGAGGCTCCAGGAAGCGCTCAGCTTCACGACCACTTTTGCCTGAAATATTCTGAAATCTCTGCGAATGTCTGGATCTGCTTTGGAATTCTTTGGATCTGTTGAACAAGTTGAACATGTCTCAACGAGTGGTGCAGGCCGGTGCAGGGCACAGCTTTCCGGCCTTGTCCAAACAATACCAGTAAGGCAGACTCCCGTAAGTAGGGAATCCTGGGATTGGTTTGCATCAAAAGCAATCTGTGTCGAGTGAGTAATGAGTAATGCCAGTAATGCCATCCTCCAGAGGAATTCAATGGAAATTATTTTGACACAAAATTTCAGTCATCTTCAGTCTTTATCTGTGCATCAAGCATACCAAGCACTACTTCGTGTCCCAACAAAGCCAAGACGCAGAAAGTTGTTCAACGGACTGAGGAGGCACGGAGTAAAGAGCACCCCCGGCACCAAGACTTGAAAGACGCCTAAGTGTGACATCATCTGACATCTGTCCACAACATTCTTTACATTTCTTTACTGATCCCGGAAAATGTTGAGAGAGCAAGAATCAAGTTCGCAGTTTCGAATGTGCCAAGAAACGGAAGCCAAGGTCGATCTCCTTCCTCAGGTGTCAAAACTCTGAACAAGCGCCAAACACCAAATAACATCGGCTCCTTGAATACATCTCATCCACCATCCACACTTTGTTTTAAGAACATCAATTACCATTGGCACTTGAGTGTTGATCTTGAGTGCTGCCCCAAGCATCCGGAGGTCGCGCAAGGTCGTCACGGGTCCCCCAGTCTTCAGCAAGCTGCCTACCAGTGAGGAATTGTTTGCATCTTTTTGTGCTATCAGCCGCTATCAGCCGCTATCAAGTCAAATGATCCGCTGTTTCATGCCTGCCCGGCCCCCATCTCTATTGCATTTCACTACGTTTCCTGGCCCGGTTTTCCCGCAGCCTTCGACACTCTCGAACCAGCTGCTGGTGTGGTGTTGCCATAGATCCTGGCATGAGCAGTTCTCAGAATTTCCTCAAGTGAACCTTCTTGACCTTTCCAATAGAAATGATATGAAATGAATCGACATGGTGACATGATTGTAACATGATAAAATGATCCAAAATGTGGAGATATGTGGAGTGATGACTGGTCTGACTGGTCAATTACATCTGGAACCTATCCCTCTGGCCATCCTCTCGCCACTTGCTTTGTGGCGCCTGGGTGTAGTACCATGTGAGGTACACGTTAAAGGCAGACGCAGCGACCTCACAAAAACGTAAATTACAGACACATCCAAGTCAATTCAATTCAAACGCAGCCCTCATACACTTTTCCGGGAAGAAGTCTAGCACCTTGAACACCCATTAAAGAGGTTTGATTTCAGCTGTTTGAAATCAACTGATTTGATGCGCTTGTTCGGCGAAGTTACACAAAAAATCGTGAAAAAAATGAAAATGAAGAGGTTCTCATCTTCAATGGTCTGGAAACCGGCAATGTTGACACAAGTGCCTCGGCACGTTCTGCACAGAAGCGTCAAAACTGATAGGAGGGATACGGGATCATCCGGAAGGTTGGGAATAAATTCAGCTGATTCATGTCCGCCTGAAGCCTGCAGGAATGCATTCAAGCGCTTGATCCTACAAATCCAACGATAGAGCCCGAGCGTTTCTGTGTCTTTGATGCTGTATTCTCTCAAAGAAGAGACAGAAATAGATCCCGTAAATAGATCAAACATGTTCATGTTTCATCACTGTTTCAGCACGTTTCCATCTTTTTGCTTGGGACAAATCTTGCAGCCACAGGTGCCAATCATCATGCACATGGCCCACCAAGTAAGGCCAATAAGGAAACCCAGCAAACCCATCATGAAGCCTTGTGGGAATTTACCCGCCTCAGGCAAGACAATTTCCACATCTCAAACATTTGCCATTCAGATCCATAACTGCCGTAACTGCAAATATCTGATTCGGAAGGTTCTTCTCCTCCCTGTATGTAACAGGTGACCCACTCCTGAGTCCCAGAATAGTGATATCATGTGATATCATGTGATATCATGATACCAAAACAAAATGATCCCTCTCCGCCTTCAATCCAACTTACAGGTGCTTGGTTGCCCCCGCCTCGTTGAGAAAGCCTGTGACATATTCGGCATAGGGCACATAGATAAACAAAGCCAAGGCTGCAGCTGCCAAGAACCAAATGAACAAAGCCTCAATGCACAGCGCTGAACAGCGCTGAACAGCATAGTTCGTGAGTCAGCGTACCAAGGTGAGCCAAAATGGATTCATTAAAATCATGAGTATGGCGGTAACCGGCCGACCGGACCGGGCAACCGGCTGACCGGATCCCGGTTGACCCCTCCCCTCCCCGGTTGCCCGGTTGCCCGGTTGCCCGGTTGACCGGCTGACCGGGGCGGTTGCCCGGTTGACCGGCTGACCGGGGCGGTTGCCCGGTTGACCGGCGGAATGCCCGGTTGACCGGCTGACCGGCCGATCGGCCGACTAGGGGAAGAAATGCCCGGTTGCCCGGTTGACCGGCTGACCGGGGCGGTTGCCCGGTTGACCGGCGGAATGCCCGGTTGACCGGCTGACCGGCCGACCGGCCGACCAAGGGACACAAAAAATCGAAGACAAGAACACGAGACAAACAAAAGCAACAGCAACACCAGACACAGAATAGAACCAAAGGCAAGATCAAAGCACTACAAGTAGCAGCTAACCTGCCAAAAACTGAAAACGTAAGTATTGAAAGTGGCAAGGACACAAAAGCAGTTGAAGAGAAGAGGAGAGCAAAAAAGACCACGGAAGAAAAAAGAGCCTGAAGAAAAACACTGGAAAATAGAAAGCAAAACAGCAAAGAAAAAATTGACAGAAGAAAACTTTTTGGGAAAGTCTCGCTAAAAAATGTAGACCGGAACCATTAAAATGCGAAAAGGAACCATGGGAAATGCAAAGTCTAAGTAGGAAATTTGTTCCATGCAAGCACTAAACATAGACCTCAACCAACAAGTGTAAACTTGCATCACCCAAATTGTAACGTCGTAGCGGTAAAGTTAGAACGGTCACGAGTAAAAATGTAAAGGGCAACCATGAAAATGGCAAAATGTAAGCATGAGAATCTTTGAAAATATATCGTGCCAAAAACATTCGAACCGTGAAAACATGGACCAGGCGAGAATCGATACTCCACCTGACACATACCTGCGTCATTATCTTCTGAACCTGACAAGTAACATCTCTTCTAACTCTTCGCGGTTTCGAAGCGTTGCGGAGGCAAATAAAAAACATATATATATATATGATTAGTGTAGACGATGCACAGGAGGACAAGAAATAGATGAAGTCCATGAAGCTGATCCTCGTTTCACGTGTAAAGACGACCCCCGCTTCGCGTGTACAGACGAACCCGTTTTCGCGTGTACAGACGACCCCCCGACCTTAAGCTGCAAGGCAAGCGGCTCCGTAGCAGCAGCCCGTTGCAGCCGGATGACGACTCGTTGCACGGCACATGGAGAGAGGTGCTGATGGGCAGCGCTGGTTGTGTGAGGCTGCGATTGGCAAAATGCCATGTGTGTGTGTGTGTTTTAGCTAAGGTAGAAGCATGTGCTTTGGACTGGACTATGTTCAAATAGGGCATGGGAAGTGCATGTCTGCATTGTGGTGAACTCAATAGATATCTAAGGGAACTGGAGTCTATGGAAACTGGGCGCTGCAAACCGAAAGCTGCAAACCAAGGCAGTGTAACAAGATTAAATACGATTTGATACGCTACAACCTAAGGCAAGTTCAGAGACCAAATGTCGTTAGTGTGCATATGCCGTGGAGGTTCGGTACAAGACACAAACTGCATGTTAGTTTCGTGGATGATGGAAAACATGTTGAAGAAACAGAGACGACAGTACAGATACACATTGCACGGTGTCATGGCTGAGATGGAGGACTTTGGCAATGGAGATCGAACAGGAGACATTGGCAAGTAGGACACATTTCGCACGAAAGTCGCTGCCGAAAATTTCATTTTGCTGCGGTTCGAACTCTGTCGGCTTTTTTTGTAAAGCGGGTGAAACAGCAGGAGGTCGGCATGGATTTAGAGCTGCTGCGAAGCTGGTCGTCGAAATGGCAGCGTTTCCACTGCATCCTGGAAGTTGCGGCGCGCCATGAATTTTCGCTTCTTGGCCGCTGCCAGTTCTGCCTTTTTGATCCCCATGAGTTCGAGTTGTACATTGCGAGCGTGCAGCAATGACGCAAGGAAGAGAAGGCCACGCACTGGGGTCATGCGCCGCGCCGCCACCGCAATTTTGCGAACAAACGCGAAAGATTGTTCAGCTGCGCTGTCATTAATGTTGGGGAAGCTCGAGGCATGCGTCTGAGGCCACGTTTTGGGAAACGGGCGAGTGCCATCAGGCTTGCAGCCGCTGTGCCCTTTGCGAAAATGGAACTTGTCGATGACAAGGCGAAGCCGGCTGAGGGTACGAGCAACTTTGCTCATGCAGCGTCGTTTCTTGGAAGCCATGAAGCGCTGCAACGTGCACGCGCAATCGTAAAAGACCAGCGGCATGGTTTGCTGAAGTGTTCGCAGGCGAGTCTTCCGCTTGGCAGTCTTCAAATTGACATTGCGGCCGGCAGACAGAAACTCAAACAGCTCAGCCAAGAAAAAGTAGACCCCTGTTGGGGATTCGTGGGTGTACACGAGCTTGATGGCGCTGATGATTTGGCATTCCTTGACAGCGGCTAAAATGCCCCCACTGCGCCGTGCTGCACGAGATTTTTCCCATTGCCGGCGACACGCGTCATTTTTCTCGGACGCAGAGAACTGGACTTGATGTCCGACGCGTGGCTTTGATTGGCACTCTCGTGAAACGGGCTCCAACAAGGATTGACCATATTGCTGTTGGTAGTGCGTGGGAACCAAGGCGCTTGATAGCGAAAAGGCTTGGCCTGTCTTGGTTTGGAAAGCATACCGCCGCGAACGCGGAATACGTTTGACAGAAAGAAGCGAAACTGGATATTGAAGCTTAGCGTGGCTCACAGCAAAACTCAACGCTTTCCGCGTTCGTCGACAAAGCGGGAAAAGCGCGACAATATCTGGCGACTTGTGGCGACCAGCTTCGGTGCGAGAAAGCAGGGTTGCTGTCGTTGCGAGGAAGGAAAGGATCATTTGCAAAATGAGATCGCAACCAAAAATCGGGTCAGCATCTCGGAGGTGCACGGCGCAATATTTTCGACCAGGAATGGGAGCACTCTGGCATCCAGTCAGGCAATGGGCGTTCAGAGGCCTGCAATCCCATACGCCCGCATCCGTGTTGGCGCACAGTTTGGTACGAACTTTGGCATTGCCGTCCACGCCTAGAATGCCTCGTTCGCACTTGGAACACTGGTGTTGCAGGAGCCAGCGACGCTGAAATTGGTGAAGCACCTGGTCTTCGAGTCCACGGCACCAGGGTTCCATGCCATTCTTGCCGACAAAGCAATTGATGGAAGTGCGATTGTTTGTCAAAAACTTGCACACGGAGTATTGCAGCCACGAATCGCGGAGATGCTTCTCCAGCGTTCGAATTTTCATGTGGAGCTTGGGCCGCAGCACATTCACAATGCCTCGGAAAGAACCACCGCAATGAAGCAGAATGTCGGTGACTTGGTCCAAGAAAGCTGTCGCAAAGACGATGTTTTGCGTGATGCAGAAGTAGCGTGGGTTGTCTTGCACTAGCATCCTAGCCCGCGCACCAGTTGCATCTTTGCCCTCAACCCACGGTCCAAAATAAGAGCGACTGCAGGAGCAGCAAGAGTAGCTGAGGAGCAGGACCTGTTCCACGCAATGCAAGCCAAGCGCACAAGGCACTGCGCGAGCGGCGGCACATTTGAGATGTGCGTGGCACGTCAGACAATGTTTCACGTCTGGTTGAACGCATCTCGTGGGAATGTGCTTTGGCAAGTGGCACTCAGCTCCAAGCCAATGCGGGGCACGTCGGAGAAGCTTGCCAAGAATAAAGTCGCAGTCCCTTTCAGACAGGTGAAGATGGAAACATTGTTGTTGCAGCAATGCGTGCGCCACAGACGCTCGACATGCAGGATCCGCGTGGTGGAACGCGAGAACGAAAGCAGGCAACAAACTGAGGGACCCTGGGTACATCAACGAAGAGCACGCGTCGCTGTGGGTGGCCCCGGCTAACATCTCGGTTCCTGGAGGCGGAGGAGGAGGATTGTTAGGCGCTACCTGCTTGGCTGCCACGCGCTGGGATTTGACATTCAGAATTTTGGCACTGTGCTCGAAAGGGCGGGCGTCAGTGGCGTATTGCGTGAGCAGCTGCAAGCACTGCTCCATGCGCGGGACATCGAAATCGGGCGGCAACAGGACCTTCAAGTCGGCAGCATACAGACTGGAGATAGACGCGGTCACCGTTAGGCAGGATTCTGCGTACTCCGCCAAGCTGTTCGCCTGCTTGTGCTGGAAAAGATGCAGCAAATTTGAAAATGCAACTTGGGAAGTTGGGCATTGCGGAGGCTTTCTTTTGCGCAGCCTGTGAGCCGCCTTTTCGGAGGTCCTGGTCAAGGCTGCCAACTGGCAATATTTCAGAAGCAAAAACGCGTTTTGGCAATATGGCTTGGCAGCATCTCTTGGTAATGCCACGCCTGTGTCTTTTGCATGAAGTTTCTTCAGCAAGGTCCCCTGGTCAACCATGATTGTGCTTGCGCTCGTGAGAACCCAGTGCGCAGCAACGAAAGCATAGAGTTTGTTGTCCGGGGAAAGGGCTTCCCACCAAACAGTGAAAGACGGGCTAGCATCCGGCAACGAATTGGCAGGGGCAGCTTCTGCGCGAGCAGT